GTCGATGCGAAGGTTCTTGTTCAACAACTCGCCACGATAGACAACGCTGAGCGTACTAACGGAGACAACGATATCACGATGGTCGATGCGAACGGAGAAATGGACGATGGGCACCATGACACCAAGGAAGCGTCAGTTTCGAAAAGCAGTGTTACTCCTACAGCAGATCTAACAGCCAATTCCCCAAGCACTCCATCTATGGAAGGGCAAGCTAGGCACGAACACTCTGCCTCTCTATCTCATGAAATCCAAATGCCAAACTCGGCATTGCCCTCAGATACACAGGAGAGCAAAAACCTTCCGCCTTTATCTCAGGGCGGTATTCAGTGGTATATGCAACCGTTTGATCCAATCGGGACCACTATATACGAGGAGAGATGGACTGGTCGGGAAGTACTTAGAGGGATGAGCGAAGAGCTTAGCGAAATCGGCGAGGACGAGCTTCGGGATCTGGTCGGGGATGAGCCCCTCGAATATGTTCCGGAACAGCCTAATGGGGTGGTGGTGCCTGGGACAGCAGCGGCTTTGGCTGGTGCTCCTGTCGATGTTGCTGCCGTGGGTGCTTTGAAGCCGAAAACGCACAAGACACGGAGACGGTGGAGGGGGTTTAAATGAAGGGGGGGGGGGGGGGGGGTTTAGCGAGAAGGGTGGTGGAGGATGTAAGGGGTGATTAAGAGGGATGTTATTGGAACACAACTGGTTTTGCTCTTTTATTTCTGACTTCTACAACGTGTTCTATCTTCTCTTCTTTTTCTTCTACAACGGTACTACAGTTTTGTTCACCTCACATTTTGTTTCACATACCCACAGATTATTACTATTTTACGGCGCGTGGATGGATGGATAGATTGCGGCATACTGTTATTACATAAGTGAGCTATCGGATATTAGTCCGTCATATCGGGGTGAAGTTACCTCGGTACAGAACCGGACTCGAGGAAATTTCGAGCGTATTATTTTGGAGCCAATCCTGTAGTTGTCCTCCTAATGGCGTTAAAAAAGAATTGGAATCCACTCCTGTAGAACCATTGCAGAAAATGTCCAACTACATGGAGATAACTGGATTATTTCCTTCTTGTGGTCAGAAACTCCACTGCCAGGGTCCACCACCCAGCTCTATGAAGCTCCTGCTCAGTCCCTCCTTTGGCTATGTATGTTTCCGTTGCTTCTCTAGGAGGTGGTACATCATAGTATAACGCAGACGTGTTTTGTGTTGCTCTTTGTTTTGTATGAGGTGTTTTTTTTGCCGAGCGTCATCGCTCTTTTGGGACTGGAATCACGGGGTTTTCTGGAGCTGGGGCTAGTTTTAATCAGGCCAAGCGCGGCGCCCCATCGCCGCCAATCACGCTAGTATTTTGTTCCTTTGTCTTCTGGACAACTCTTCTTTTTTTCATCTTCCTCAAAAACCTCCCAACCTCCAACCTCCAACCTCCCACCCAACCTCACCTTCGGCCTCGCCTTCAATCAACACAACTGCCATCAGCGTGGACCACCTTGCTCTGACCTTTGTTTTCCTTTGGAAGACTGTGTCTCTTTTCCTGTTTTCTTCTTAGGAGGTTGTTATTTTCTTTTGCGTTTCAATCCTCTCTCCACCCTTGACAGACACCTAGGCTGTGCAACCTTGGTAGAACTCGATCCCATCCATCTCAACGACTTTCGCCCGCTTAACTTGTTCTGTGTCTTGTCGTCCTTAAATCTCCCTGCAAGTCAATGGCTACTATGGAGTACGAGACTGAGAATGGTCGCTTTGACGGTACGTATCGGTGCAGGCGGATTCTTCGAAGGGATGATGGGCTAACTTCTATTGTGCTCGTAGACGAAGCCAGATTTGATCGCGACCGCAGCGCCTCTCCCAGAGGCAACGCGAGAGGGGGAGCCCGAAACCGAAGCGTGTCTCCAAGCAATGGTCGTGGCGAGATGCGGTGAGCTATAGCATGACCGATGTTTTTGACGGCTCTGGAAGGAACCTCCATCTAATTAGCGATATAGCGTATCCCAAAACGATAGGGCGATGAAAGGAAACGACGACGATGAGGGAAGTGTCAACACTGGCTCGAATCTTTTCGTTACAGGCATTCACCCACGCCTTACTGAATCGGACGTATCACGTCTTTTCGAGAAATATGGCGATGTGGAAAACTGTTCCATCATGCTTGACCCCCACACAAAGGAGTCGCGTGGTTTTGGCTTCGTGAAGATGGTCACCGCAGAACAGGCAGACGCTGCAAAGGAAGGCCTTCAAGGCGAAGTTATTGAGGGGAGAACTCTCAGTATCGAGAAGGCGCGTCGTGGCCGTCCACGAACACCAACTCCAGGAAAATACTTTGGTCCACCCAAACGTGGAACCTCTTGTATGTGTGATTTTTCCAAACTTTCCCCTGTACCGTGCTTGGCAAAGATAAGCATTGAACCAACCTGTAACATAGTTACCCGTGGCCCACCCCGCGGCGGCCGTTACGATCGTTACGATGATCGTCGAGGAGGGTACGGTGGTGGTGGACGCCGGCAGGATGATAGTTATCGCCACGGTCGTTATGATTCGTACAACGAACGTAGTCGGGACTATGGTCGCCGCGAGTTCCGCGATGAGCCCTCATATCGCGGCATCGATCGCTACGCGACCTCAGGACGCGAAGATAGATATGAACGTCGTGGTGGCGGTGGTGCTGCTGACGACCGTCGTGGGGATGATCGCCGTGCATACTATGATCGCGATGATTCTCGTGCACATCACTCTGCCACGTTTGGTGAAGGTGCACCGCCTCCTCGTGAATCCCGTGAGCCGTATGGTGGGCGTTCGTACGAAGGCCGTGGTGGCGATGTCAGATATTCTTCGAGATAGGTAGGTGCAAGGGACTAAGAAGACTTTCAGTTCGCGAGCTGGCCCCACCGCCATCGATCGCGTTCCTGACTGCTTGTTTGTTCCTCGGCGGTCTTTCTTTCTCCTTTGTATTTTTCTATTCCGTTTTTTTCCTTCCTGTATTCGACGAATGGTTTTAGTCACTACTCTCAGTTGAGGGTAAACCTCGACAGTTACGGCGGCGCTTCTCTATTTTATCTCCCAGAAAAGTCAACCCTTCGCTCATACATGGTTTGTCGGCGAATTCAGAAAGCTTTCGTGCAACCTCTGCGACTGGCATCAACTCCAGACTTCCCTAGAGTTGAGACCTGTCTGTCTGGTTGTATTTTTTCCCTTTAATTATCGTACGGATATCGGAAATTGGCGACGGATGAAAAAAAAAAAAAAAAAAAAAGAAAAAAAGAAAAGAAAAAAAAGAAAAGAAGAGAAAAGAACAAAAAGAAAACAAATGTCTACCTACCTGTAATACCCTCGGTTTTTCTTGTGGTCAGCACTCTACTTCAATTTCAGCTATGGTCGTTATCGCTAGTCAACTTTATTCGCCGTATCGCGTCTCTTCAGCTTCGGTTCACGACTATCCCAAGTTCGACTTAAGAGGAGAAAGTGATACCAACTCAAAATTCCAAATTGCCTCACAAAAATGCTTTCCGTTCCGCGTCTCAGAAAACAAAAACTTCTTGGAGTCCGGCACAAACTCAGCCATAATCTGGCCATGCTCGTGTTTGTAGTGTGTCGCCAATTTTCTTGGGTTCGGTTTGCTCATTATAATCAACTGGACCAACGTTCCAATCTTCTTCCGCTGTAAAGATTTCCTTTCGTGTGGCGCGATCACTGGCTGTGTCTCCCTCAGTCTACCTTACTTGATCGAATACCACATTTTGACAACCTCTCTTCAACTGTTCAGCCAACTACAACATTATAAAGAGACTATCATATAGAACCGCTATCCTTCTCGCTCATTCCGGTCTTTGCTTCATCATTTTGGCTCCAGGAAATTAAAGGACCGAATTTTACAACTACGAAACTTGGTAAGTTGGCAACTTGATGGACGTCTCGCTAATTTCTATACGTGTCTTGTTTTGGATCTAGTCAACGTGAGTTGTATTATCAGTCTCTGGTGCCTATGGGTCACGTCACTATTTGCATCGCCCGATTTAAATAAATTCGCGCATCGCTATGCTTAAACCTGCACAAAACGGTATCACTACTGCCCATTTCTATCGCTTTCGCACTTGTTAGAAGAGCGGATGCTGGTTATTGACTTTAACCACCGTTCTCTGTATAATGTTGAATATTTGACACAACTAAACTTCAACAGCGTCCAAGGCGGAGGGAAACCCCAAACGAATTTCAAACGTATAGTGATAGAAGGCGGAAGCCCCTTATTGAACAGGAAGGGGTTTGCATTAGCGAACAGCTTGAATGAACAACTCCAGGTCTCTCGGGTGGGTTGCTAGACCTTTTAGGTCTTATTGCCGTGTTATTGAAATTTGATATTTAATCTCAAGCGACGATGACGAGAGATTGGATTCGAGCCTTCGACTAAAGTTGATATGGGTTAGTGTTTGCTACTCAACATAGCTGCTGCTCTGCATTCTAAATACAGCACTCCTGAGGATTCCTAAGATAAACATGACTGGCAGTCTTTATTTCCATAGAAAGGGAGTATTGGGTTTAATAAATGTTACGTCATGATTAACAAACAATGCGTAGATTCCAATAGAATGGATGGAAATACCAATCAATGCCAAACCTAAGCTGTTATTTTGTGTGCCTACGCCTCCCACTGTGAAATATTTTTCCCTTGACGCTTTTCTCTGCTGATCCGGATATTTTCTATTTTGAGTCTGATAAATAAACTTGCCCGATTGCCATTAGTAAAACCAAACAAAAAGAATGGACTGGAGAGGGAATCTGACTTGCGAAGGAGAAAGGAGGACCAGGAGCACATCCAGATGTACGCACATATGCATTACGCACACCTATATCCAGAGAAGCACAGCATCCAGCATAGCATCCATTTCCCAGCGTAGCGCATGATATAGTGTGATAGACATAATATAATACACCCCCGCATCGCAGTGCGCATGGATAAATGATCCATCCACCCATCCAATCATCATATTTCCCCCCCCCCAAATCATTCCCCAATTTCACTGCTCTTCTGCAGCAAATATTCCCCTAGTACACGGAGGGGATTCGAGGGTCTACGGGAGAGAATAAAAAAAAATTTTTTTTTTTTTGGCATGATGGGTTAGTCCACAGCTTGCCGGATTGTACGCGGACGTGGTGCGCGGATTATAGCTGGAAAACTCACTGCTCCTTCGCCAGCGTCTTCATCCCCTCCAACAGATATGGCACGATCTTTTCATTCATGTAAACCCGCGCTGGAGCACCGCCGGGTCGAACCTGCGATATCGAGGCTGCAGACGCATTTCTGGTGTCCATATTGATGTCATTTGAGGAGGTAGCCGGGGCGGCTGTAGTCGTGGGAAGTGGTTGTTGTTGTTGATGCTGCTGCTGCTGCTGCTGCTGGCTATTATTGTCCAGCCCGCCTCCGGACATTGTGACGTGCTTTTCGTCCGTGGTGGCGTCGGTGGTGCTGGTAGAGGGCAGGGCGGCGGGCTGCTGTGAAGGATGTAGAGGGTGGACAGCTTCTTCAGGGAAGTGTTGCGAGGGCTACGATTTAAATAAATAAATATTATATGTTATGGTGGGGAAGTTTCTATTAGCTTCTTGTTTGCTTGCGTCGGGGAGCTCTGCTTGGGGAGTTGGTTGTGAATGTATTGTGTTCACAGAGCGTGGAGAAATACAGGCCGATAACAGTGATGAATAAACGTGCAAGCCAGAAGAATATATTTTAAAAGGCCGCTGGCTTCTTCCGTCTCAAAATATGTAAGAAATTCGGGCTTTTACGTACAGAATCTATGTTCCTCATGGTGGTGGTGGTGGGAGCGCTGGCGGTAGCTCTGACGGTGGTTGTGCGCCAAGCTTTGGAGTGGAGTGGTAAACTGGGGATCCTTGGTTGGCGGCGGAGCGATGGCGGTGGGTGGGAATCAGACTGGCCAGGAATTGGGAGTAAGTCTTTTGAAATCCGCAGCAAAATACCAGCCACTTGCACTGCTTGGGGCAAGGACTTCGATGTTCTTGTCGTATATTCGCTGCCGCAATCCCGCAGAAGTTGGAGGATTGTGAGGTTGAGCGTGATTGCAGATAATGCAAACACTGTGCCCTCCAGCACGTGACAACGCGTCAACATTCGCAGTCGCGTTTGCCTGGTTTGTGCAGACGTCACAGCGTAGTTGGCAGTTTGACGGGCTGTGAAAGGGCAGTCAACAGACAGTGTCAATCTTTCTGTTCTCTGCTGCCCTCCTGCTGAGGGATGGCCGGAAGAGCGCAGTGTCCGTTTGATTCCAAGCAGAAGCATGATATCAATATAGATATTTTTACATCCCCCCCCCCCCCCCCCCCAATTTGCTATTCTCGAGCAGGCCAAAAATACGCCTCTCCTCCGTTCATTTGAACCATCTCCTCCTTCAAATTTCTTTCTCGATATCAATATGCTCGAGGAGATAGGACCACCGCTGAAGCGATTGAGAAGATCAGGGAGTCCTGGCAGTTTGTCTTCTTACCCAGAAGCCCTGGCTCTGGAAGGGATTATATCTCCTGGAGAGGAGGTTGGAGATCATAATAATGATCAGCTCGCCAATGAAGACGATTCAGAAGAACGAGTTTCGAGCACACAAACAGAGCTAGAGATTTCTCTCCTCCCGGTAACAACGGACAAAGAAGCGATCGAGGAATACGAGGCTTCGGGGGTCCGGGAACGGATCATCGGAAGCGAGGGGTCGGGTTTACACCGCCGCTATGAAGAACGAGAATGGGTGAAAGGCAAAAGCTCCATATATGTAGATGCGTTCAATCTGGCATTGGAAAGCGTTTTGGAGGACGAATCTCATCTATTCGACGAAGCGGAAATGGAAGTGTTTAAACATTGGAAGGGATTATGCTATGAATCACAGTATTTGTATGTCTGTCTGGCTTTGCAATGCGAACCTTCGCCGACATCCAGCCATTTTGGATGTTATAGTGGGTTATTAATGTTTAGGTAGATATGTACGTTTATTCCTGCGCAAAACGTCGGCATGGCATCGTGTCAACCGCCTAGGTTACTACCAAGATATTGCGGATATGTCTGCCGCCGTGAAGGATTTGAGACTGAAAAGGACGCTCCCAATCTCATCCAACCCCCTTCAGTCTTCGATTTCAGTGGAACTGGAACCCCCTGAGAATATAATTCTTGGCGGAAGTTTCCAATTCGCTGAAGGATTAGAACAAATAACTACACTCGAAGAAGCGTCTTCTTTACTCCTTTTGGAAGAATTAAAATCTTTCTCAAAGGATGCTAAAGTTCAGGGGAAAACTAAAAAGGAACTTTTGAGGGGATTGCAGGAGTCTAGCATCACTCAAGGAGGGCTTGAGTGGCCTCAGCAACCAAAATCAGACGATGGAACATCCAGCGACTCTGACCTAAGTCAGACCAACATGTCATTAGCAAAGGTGATGACACGAGATTTGTATTTTACCAAAAAGATCTTGGACCACACAGGTGACTGTGTTAGACTTTCCTCTGCACCCCGGAAACTCTTCGAACGGGTCCATTTACTTTTCTACCGGTCTACAGAATGGACAGAAAAGTCCCTAACAACTATTATCCTAGCAAAAATTTCGCGGAAAAACTACCCACACTATATCGTCTCGAGGTCAAATTCCATATTCCCCTCAAGAGCCGCATTGCTCGAGTTCGAGGCCGCCTTGCGAGTCCAGTTTGATATCGATAATACCCTAGAATCTCCCAATCTACCAATTATGAACAAATTAACAATTATTAAATCGCTCTCAAAGAGCGTTTACGGAAGATGGAAGGCGCTGGTCGCTGAAGAACAACGCAGGGAAGAGCGGGTGTATGAGACTGGAGAGGGCGCGTATCTACGCCGCTTCTCTCCCGCCTGGGTGTACACTCGCATCATTCATAAAGGCTTGTATGCCTTGGGTCGTTTCAAAGAGTATAAACGAGAGCATGAGCTGTTGGCGGAACTGCTTGACCAGCGATTGTTCCATGCTGCTCGTCGAGGAGCGTGGTATCAGCGCAAAGCTCTACTTGAAGAACACTATATGTGGTCTTTGAACCCCCTTGACAACCGCCCCGAAGATGCACAGAGGAGGAATTGGAAACGTAGAGCTCTTCGAACCTGCGAAGAGGGCCTTGAGGATCCCGATTGCCATTTGATATACCACTATGATTTACAGAAGCGGATTACAAAGTTGGAAAAGTCGCTCAAGGTCGCAAAGCGCGAACAACATGATTTTGGACATGTTATGTTGGTTAAGCCGGAGGAGCGGGTGGTGGAAGGGATTCGGATTGAAAGGGAGATACCCATTAGACCTAGTTCCAAGAACAATTTAAGCTCTGCCTCCCAGAGAGGCAGAGCTACGGTTTGGGTAGATGAGCGGGAAGGCGGGGGAGAATGTAGAGTGGAAAACATGTGCTTAAGTTGGTATAGGGACAACGGGTGGAAGGGCTTCCATTGCGAGAGTGGCATTGTGCGCACATTGGTAAGCGAAACATTCATCCAATGCAAAACGATAAATAATGCAGAATTCTTATCCCCCTATTTTCTCTGTAGTTCGGATACCTTTTCTATGACGTCCTGTTCACCTACGTCCCCAACGTCTTCCAGACCCCATTCCAAACTTGCCCGTTGGACCTCCACACCGACTCCTTCTATACCACCCGAGCTTCGGAAATCAATCACAGACTCGCCCAGATCGCCAACGGGAAAGCCGAGCAGCTAATTCGTGAGGTGCACGATCGCGAAGCAGCGAAAGAAACCTGTGCCATTGGCATAGATTGGTCTTTCGAGCTGGCTGACCTGGTTGAGATTGTGCAATGTTTCCGCGGCGAGGCGCTGGCTACTGTCTGCAAAGTGATGGCTCAGGAGTATCAGCAACGGGGCGGTGGCATTCCGGACTTGTTCCTGTGGAGTCTGGAGAGGAAGGAGGTTATGTTTGTGGAGGTCAAATCGGAGAATGATCGGTTGAGTGATACGCAGCGATTGTGGATTCATGTCCTTACTGGTGCTGGGGTTAGAGTCGAGTTGTGTAATGCTGTTGCCAGAGAGGTCAGGGTTGAAGGTTCTGGGGTTTGATTTGGATTTGGAAAGCTGCCGGTCTATGTGTTGGATCTATATCAATTGACTACAAAACGCCAATATTATGTCCCCGTAATGGGAAGTCAAACAGTACGACATACTCAGATGTACATTGACATATTCAGAACCCGCTTGTGAGAAAAAGAAAACCCCTTAAAAGGTAGAAGACCGTTGATCAGAAATGCAGAAATGGAGTGAAAGCATCCTCAAAAGGTATCTTGAGGCTAATATTGGTTGACCTCGAAAGCGTCAATTCATCTCAATGTTTCTCATAACTACTAAGTATAGTCAAACAATGCCATTTGAACCGCCTGGTGTTATCCTCTCAGACATCCAACCCCTCCAACCCAACCCCTTCTTGAAATATCTCGACGAATGGTATTCATCGTTTCATATTTAAGGGCCGTGATCGTTCGTGCTTCACTTATGCGACAAGGGTGCTGGCAGTGGCGCTCTCGTATCTCCAGGTAGGTGGGAGGACACCAACGGACTTGTAGTAGCGGGACAGACGGTGGATACGGGACTCGATGAGAATGAGGCGGAACTTGCTGTCCTTGTCCTTGCGGTTGCGCTCGAGATGCTTGCGGACAGCCACAGCCTAATTGGTGATGATTAGCGAAGAAAAGACAAGACTGAAAAAGAGATCGGACAAATAAGGTAATAATACGGAACACAGAAAAAACATGAACTGTTATTCCCGTGAAAAGGTGAACTTGGGGAAATCTGTGATGTAATTACCTTCTTGATCAGCATGTAGAGGTCCTCTGGGATTTCGGGAGCGAGGCCTGTTCATGTTGAAAACAAAAAGTCTCTCTGTCAGCCTATTGAATGACCAAGCAGAGGCAGTGCTGATTTGACATAACTATGTCAAGAAATGATAGGGCGGATGTATGAGATAGGTGAAGCCGGAAGAGCGTTCCATCGCGCAGAATGATAAAAGTGCTCTTCTCTCAAAAGATCTCCGCTTGATTATCGCCAAGCTCCCGTTTTCCACTTCTTTCTCTCATCCCACAGCTATCATCTGGGGAATTGCTGCTGGATATGACTTCGTACCGTTCGCCTTGAGGATCCGGAGGATCTTGTTACCTATAGCATCACCATTTGTTAATCTTATCATCCCAATATTGATTCCTATACTTCACATTCGCTTCCAGACATACCAGTGACAACCTTGACCTGTGCGATTCCGTGGCTATCTCTCAGGATAACACCAATCTGAGAGGGGGTAGCACCCTTCTTTGCCAGCTTGCATATCTGGTCAACGACCTGTTCTGGTGTGGTTTTCAACCATGAGGGAGGATTGCGCGAGTAGGGGATCGCCGAGGCAGCGATGCCCTTACCCTTGCTGTGCAGGCGGCCCATTTTGAAGTCGTTGAGGGGGGTCGAAGGAAATCGTTCCTTTTATTTTTCCTTTGTTGGCGGCGGGGGCGGAGTTGTTGACCGAGTTCTCTTCATTCACAAGAAAATAAAAGTTCGTCTCGTTCAACAGCGGGTGGATAGAATGTGGATCATGTGACTTCGCTTAGTTTTTCAAATTGACTAACCTATTTGGACTTAGCGAGCCATGAGCCGCATATGGAAGTTTAACCTTATCCTTCTCACGGTGCAGAGATACAGCACAGCTCCGTCTCTACTCCTCCTGACAAGATTATTTATTCTATTAGTGGTATTTTACTTGGAATCCGATTTATTCGTTTATGCGGGCCGCATATGGAGAACAAAAACAGGCTTACGACAAAATGTCATTCAATTCATAACGTCAAGACTGGCCCTTTAGCAAACCAAGCAGGTCAGAGAAGTTGGTAACTAATACTAAGGTACAATCTCCTGCATGCCTCAGCCGTTTGAATTATTGCTAGCTTACGTTGCAATCGCGGGAGGTTGGGGTGGACAGTGAAAACATAAACTTCATCCAGACTGCCTTAGTAACGAGCATATAATGTCGTTTGGGTCTTCCGTGCCTATATGACCTAGTTATATGAGACCAGGAAACTATCGAAATACCAGTCCGCTAGGCAGGTTAAAATTGATCCGTCCTGACAGTTTAGGTGCATAACCCGTCAGGTTATCGCCCCACCGCTCCATACCAGCATAAGCCCAAAACACCTCCCATAACGATAGCAACAGCCGGAGGAATCCTAAACCACGAATTTCCGGAATATGAGATGGCTGCCACAACCAACCAAAATGGCTCCTTCCCCAGGCTTTGCCCAGCGACAGAATTGGCGCTTAGATACCCAATTTCCCAGAGCCGATACACGGCCGTAAATACTAAACCCACTGCCGTAGCATTGATACCTCTCAGGAAACTGGTAGTTAAAGGTATCGTTCGAATGCTTCTCCAAATGCTTTGAAAGCCCACTGCAAGCGTGAGACCGGGGAAGAATATACCCAAAAATCCCAAGACAGCGCCCAGGATGGTGGGATGCGAAGAAGGTGCTAATGCTAGCGCACCCAGATAAACCGCAAAGTTGAAATTCGGTCCCGGAAAGGCCTGGATAATGGCAAGGCCGATTAGGAAATCTCGGGGGGACACCCAGCCAGGTTCGACTACGTATTCTCGGAGAAGCGGAATAACAACGGGGCCACCTCCAAAGATGACAGTGCCCGCAAGGTACATGTTAGCAAACAGATCCAATTCTAACGGCGGTTTATCTAAAACTCCGCGTGCAACGAGTATTGCGATGAAGGAAACTGGTGATTTGTCAGTACCATACGCTAGATATCAAAAATGCGTCGATAGAAATCATACTAAAGAAGCCGGCAATTATCACAAGTCCCCATATGACAGGAATTTTGTGAGACCGCGCATCTACGCTGGCAGTTCGGTGCGTTTCCCCTTCATTAGGAGCGTTGGAGGCACCAGAATCAATAGGCGCAGGGGGTACACTGGCAGTGCCAGTGGGAACAGATCGTTTCTGCACCCCGCCTGTGGACTGACGCACTTCGGTTATATTGGTTAAATGTACACTATTCTCTTCCACCTCCCGCTGGGGGTCTTTGTTCCCACGGCGAAAGTTTCTTCTAATTTTCGCGACCTTTTGACGACCAAATAGATCCCAGCCGCTAGTGCAAGTTCCTCCGATTACCATGAGCATAGGGAAGAACCAAAGTGCATTATAGCAAAGGCCTGCGCATCCGCCCATGATAACGAGGATCCTAGTTAACGGATCTTTGATCGCTTTTTCTGCCAACTGCGGCCATTAATTTTTTGCTCAGCAATCGTAAGCAAGGCAGGTTAATAAATACCTTTACTGCCGCTAGGGCTATTATTCCGACGGTGGATGCATTGAGGGCGGAGAGAAAAGCATAAGCAATATCGGGAAGCACTTCGTCTATATTTTGGATTCCAAGGGAAAGCCCGTACATTCCAATTGCACCAGGTAGGCTTAGATGGCCCAGAAAGATTAATGTCAGGAGAAGTTTAAAAAAAAAAAAAAACCATGACGAGTGACAACACTAATCTCACACTGACCTCCATATCATGAAAACAAGAAGTCCCGGTAGAAATCCAGCATGGATTAAGGCTATGCAAAACCCCATCTTGGTGCTTCCAGGGCCCGGTAATGCCTGACACAATGCAAATAGTTCTTGATACTAAATTTCCATCAAAACAATCAGCCTCTTGGTTGCTTCTCTACACAGGCTCATCTGCCTCACTCAAAGTCGATAGTTGACATGCTCCCCTACCGTTTGCTCATCGATCCATGGTGTTCTCCCCCCTTGACCTTCCACAAATTTCCGGTAGAAAATTCGGAAATGCACAGGGGGGCCACCAAAGGCGGTAAATCCCAGATGCCATGTCCGTTGGATCACATCCAGGAAGCGATTTAGAAGCTTCTCATTATTAGCCTCGTAAGGAGCACGGGCATCATGAGAATGTAAGCGCCAGGCGTTAAACAGAGCCTGCAATGACATTTTTGCGGGCAAGATGAGGTGAGAGTGGGAAAACGTAAACTCTGTTGGCACAAGAGGCCGAGCTTTTCTTTTATCCCGGCGGGAATACCTCCCCGCAATTGGCAAATCAGCTCATCAATTGGTGGATGAACCTGGAATGGAGGATTGAAATTTTTGAGATCTCACGTCCATTCGCAAAACGACAAAAAAATATACATGTATTTATCCATGGATGTCGGAATCCCATCCCCCAGATTTTATCCCCCACTCATCATGAAGAAACGTAACTGGCATTCTGGCACACCATTAGTCCGTGATGACGCCTTAAGCCATGGAAGATGGTTGGGCCCACGGACGGCGAGGGATATGAGAGTTGCTAAAAGACTTGGCCCGTAGCAAGCAAAGATAGAAGTCCGAATGGGGTTTAGCTTGTGCTTAATAAGCGAGACGGCCTAATTTTATCATTCCCTTTCCGCACTGCTTATATTTCCCCTTTGATTTCAGATTTTAGATCTCAAGAATCCCAAACAACAGTATCTGTCTGCAGCAGAATAAATGCCATCAAGCTGTGGGTTACTGGCGACATTGTCATGAACTGACATTTACTGGTAAAGAAGCTTTGAAACTAACTGGCCGCTTGCAATATTTCAATTGGGTACGTACATCTGCGACGTTTGCCTATTTTCTCCCTTCTTACACATTCCTAATACCCCCATCTTTGCCAATGATGATATACACCACATATACAATATTTCTGGTACCTCTTATGTCAGGGGTGAGGCCATGGCTTCACTCCGATGATCTATCTGGACTTCTGATAGCACACAATGAACATTATCGATCTTCTTTTCCGGCTGAATGCACATAGCGTGCACTTGTCTTGAGCATTTGCTAACCTTGACATGCGATATAGATTAGCTACCCGACCACAGGAGAAATAATTGGGGTATATGGAACTATTAGAGATGCATATGATGAGGGCCTATGTTGTCTGATTACTACGGTATCCCAAGGGATTGGTTTTGATCCTATGTTTATGCAAAATATGATACCCACTCTTCTGAAACCTTCTCAGGAGATCGATTTTCTCTGTTCACCATACTGCAATTCCTATGAATGCTTTGAAAGGCCCTATAGACAATGTTTAAATGGGTGAAACATTTACCTGTTTTGGAAAACAGACCATTGAATGGGAAGAAAGAATGTTATATCTGGAGCTACTAAAAGCATGGTTATGATGCACAATTCTTTTTTTTTTTTTTTTTTCCCTCAAATATCCTTTTTCCTCCGTAGGGTTACAGAACCCTCCTGTTTCTCCATTTTGATCATTATCTTTCTGGGAATAGTAAACCATCCTTTACATCAACAACTATCTTTTCACCATATATCTGATGCGTATAACCGTTGTGATATCCTTTTCCTATCCATATTCCATAACATGCAATTGGTAATCCTCAGTGAGTGGGTACATGCTGCAGTGTGCTTCTGTTGTGGTACGAAATACATCACTCTGAATTCAGTGGAGAAAACATGACCAAACTAGGACATCTGACTGTAGTAGAAGGGCGGTGGCTAAATATGATACGGAGGATTTTACCTTTTTTTCATGTTCAATTGTTTTGGCACAGGTATTCCTCAATACCCTGGTGACGTACTGCCAGCTGGAATTCAGCAGCCCAGGGGCTCAATTGATACGATCATGTTCATTTCCTGTAGATTTCCCCAAGCGCTTTGATGTTATCTCGAGCTGTCTTCATAACCATGCTGGGCTTACCCACATGGGGGCACCAGTGCCGGGCTATCTTCCGGTATCCAATTTACTCTCCGTCCCTAGAATCACATCTATCATCCATGTGGATGTTTCTGTCTTGTTGATGGCATCGTTCCGTTTCATCTTCAATTCCTACAGCCTTTCCCTCCTTTTGGTATGTATGATGGTGCGCGGCCCGCTGGCTTCTTTGCCCTGTCCCTGGCATCGAATCTGTAAGTTGCATGCGGCTTGCCGAAAATCGGTACACATCTTCCCACTATAATGCCGTAACCTCTCGGGATGGTAGCACGGGCCATGTTGCACACGGGTTTGTGTCGGCATAGCCGGCATCGACGGACCGAATTAGGTGACTGGAGTCTGTATCTGGATTGCCTGTCCATGTGCCTTGTTAGGTCACTTGCTCTTTATTATCTTGAAACACATATGGCTAAGGAAGACATATCATACCGTGGGATGGGGGATGGGGATGGTCTGTGAGACTGGGTCAATATTGAAATCCCAGACGATACAATATACAGCCATGATAAGCTAGCCTTGGAATGCTAGATCATCAATCTCGCTGCAGGAGGCTCAATCAATATTTTCTTTTGCCCTTTGTTGTTATATACAATACAAACTATCTATCCAACGGATCCGGTCGTCAACTGAAATGTTGACTCTACTAGCAACATCTGGATCATGATGTTTTCCCACTCACAAGCACGAAATACACGTGCTGAAATACCTAACAATCTTTTCCATCGTACAAGACAGATAATTAATACATCTTTCAGAACTCACATTGGTCTGTTGGCCTAATACCTAGTACTACTGAATGAACTCCTTTGTGGTGATGTTGTGAGGTTATCCCCACTGACGCTTCCGGCAACAAAAGAGCTCAACAGAGGAGGTATAAAAATGCAAATATTGAATCTTCCCTCTTTCAACCGCACTCGACATCGAGATACATACAATACATGCATGAACTCGTTTCCATATGTCTGTGCATATGTTCATGTGCAATAAGCATGCCACGCCCTCTGTTCCCAAAAGGACATACGCAGCTAGCCGCTTCCCCACGAGACACGGGGCATCGCGATCTGTTCACCCCCGGCTACTCCGTCGTCCACATGGGTCACGAGGCAATCAGGGGGCTTTTAGACTTGCGAACCGGAGCTAAATGTATATCGATCGGTCCCGGAAGCGCTGTGCAGCAACCCCCCTGGACCACCTTACCGCCTGTCCAGCATTAAACTTTTGACCGGGTATGCTCTCCTGAAATTGGAACTTTCTTGTCTGTCAATTTCTTCTCTCTCTAAACTACACCAACCGATGCTGGTTATCCAGGATTGATTAACGCGTCAGAAGCTATGGAATTGATAACCGAATTGAGAAACAAACCTCAAAATTGCGATATGAACCTGCAGAGGCATGTATTTTAATATAGCAGCAGTACCAGATGCCCCTGAGTTGGACTGGTATCCCCAACCATTCACCGCACCACGCTATGTGATGTAACGGAAAGAAAGTATAATTGCAACTGATCGCCCCTCTGCAATTGCTCCTTATTCAGGAGTAATGCATTCAGGTGTAATGTAGATCTCCCAGGTACAAGAAGCCGTCACACTCTGGGCACATGCCGGTGTGCAGGTTAATAGGAGGGCAGGTCAGCGATGCGGGCTAAGGAGCCATTTTACCAACTTGCGTTTGATTGTAGGAAGGTTAAGACCGGCGACCCCGTTTATATTTCTGCATGTCCAAACGGAGGCAAGCTAGGCTAAGAATAAATAATCACACAGTTAACTTGCCATGTCAGTAAGTACTTGGGTAGCTATAGTACACGGCCATGTCAAAGCGGAGAGAAGGACATACACCGCCTCCTTTACCTAACGGAGATTCACCTATTTGAATGACGACATTGGATAACTAGTTAACTTACTTACTGGACTGATAAGATAGTTTGCTCGATAGTTAAGCCCCACTTCAGCTCAGTATGGGACTCCAGTTGCAAACATGCGATTATTGGAAGTAGTGGAAATGAGCAGGAAGATTAAAGCGGAAGACTAGAATAACTTAACTATTTTGAAAAACAAATGATTCCGTTCCAGTCAATCGCCTTTCCTCATGAATGAGTCTAGTTTCAACCCCGCAATGCTAAATGCGCTTCGTCAGGAAAAACAACCGTTGAAGATGGCAATTAACCATCCGTCAAACTCGGCGGGTCTGACGGGACTACCGTGCGTTTACCGACTCTGACATTATCCAATTGAATCAGCGAGCGCTAGCTTGCACCATTAGTTATAGCCACTGTGTCAGCGCACCAACGAAGCCCCAGGAGCCAATTCGGAGCTTCATCAACAAATCGTGGAAACAGCTTTTGTTGATTGGGTGGTGCCGGATGGCAAGCCAGCCTATGGCGATTGTTCTCAAATGGTGATCTTTTTAGCAGCTCAGGATATTCCCCAACCAAAACAATTCTGCCTGCAAGGAAGATTCTATTTGATTTATTAGCGGATAAAGAGGGATTGGTTGTCTTTTGAAGAGTTTAGCTTCCTCACTTTTGCGCCTCTTTGTCTGAAGATTACGAAGAATGGAGCTGCAGCCCCCGATTTTCGATGGCAACCTGGTGGCAAATCTCAATATCAACAAGCACTTGAACAAAATCGCTCCGGTTAAGAAGACGGCGGCAACCTAGAGCATTGCATTTAGCTTATCAAAATGCGACAAACTTTGACATGGATATTCTTGTATGGGCCTTGCCATGCACCATGAAACCAGGTTCCCAGCGGGAGATCGAAAAACAAAGTCAGTGATAATTCTCACCATCGTCGCTGACAGGTGTACGAGTACGTTTCTTCAAGCAAAGGGGGGGGGGGGGGGGTTTGCCTTTTGATCCAACCGCTGCTGTTGGACAGACAACCGATTCCCGGCGTTGAAGTGGCGGATATGCAGGAACTTTTCAGCTGTACACGCATCCTTGTTTAAAACCTTTATGCAAGGTTGTTCTCCAATATGCAAACGCCATGCAGATGCAAGAGTTGGGGGAGGCGTTCTTCTTAGGCGTAACAGGGTTAGCATGTTGCTCACTCGGGGGACAATAACAATACGTGTATCTCAGTCTTTTTTAAAAACATTGGTTTGAATTCCGCTCTTAGATTCCTCCCACTCCCTTTTGGCATAGATTGTTCCAGCTTACTGGCTTTTGGCCTTTTGAACACAAGGGTTGTCTTCTGTAACTAGCACCGAGGGATAGAAAACCACCCAGGCATGGGATATGATTGAGACCGGCCTAAACCGAAACTCCTTAATACGGTCCGCATTCCCCATTCTATATTCAGCATCCCTGTTCCATAGAATTAGAAAATATGTCGAAGGGGAAGTTTTAATCACTGGAAAAATTTTTGCTTGGAATGTTTTCCTTTGAGTAGCTCGAGTTAGTATAGCATAACTACATGACGGCTGAAGGTGACTTAAGGCAGTCATAGAAATCAAGGACTTCCTCTGCATACACAGAGAGAAACTCATGAGCAAAGCTTCAAAATGACAAATGCTGTGGCAAAGAGCCTTGCTCGCACTGACACGTTTTCCTTTTCTATAAAGTAGCCTTGCACTGTACAGCCCATATCCCTTTGTAACATTAAGGAGTTCAATCAGATTATAGTTCTCCGGACCTGCCGCTGACCAGTGCCGGTGTTTTGCAGGAGATCAACTGTCAATTGTCTACACAACTGGATACATTCTTCAATTCTCCCAACAAATGATGTGCAATTAATTAACAACACGTCCTGTTGGCGCCGTCCATGATTCCCTAGCTGTCCAACTTGGATGACAAGGACTTGTCATTTTTCCCCTCACCGAGGGAAGTTCGAGCGCAATTCGAAGTTCAGCATCGCGCAGGAGTCGATCCGGATCTAAGAAAGTACTTCAATTTTATCCCACCTTATATGAGACCGCCACCTGTTCCTTTTCAAGATAGAGATCTGTTTGTTGAGTGGCAAAAGCTATGACAGAGTTTTCAGTGCTCAGTGTCTATATGCCATCCGTTGGGCTCTCCAAGGCGACATCCCTGTTCCTGAGGTATACGGATGGCGCACATCTACATGGAAGATATGCAAAGTCAAAGTCTGGAGCAAATAGTTATAGGAAGCATTTACTCCTGCTGATCGGCGCTCGATCTGTGAAGAACTCTGAACAATATTTTGTGTTAGACTCCGCCAAGTCGAACATGATCCGTTGGACAAAATCATTGGTGCGAGCATCTTCACTTCTACAGCATCTTTCACCATGCCTATTAATTCCATCTCCGCCTTCAGGGAATGGGAACGTTGCCTCGTCAACACCTCTATGATAGAGCATTCTACATAAACTATATGTCAAACGCAGGGCCATTCACAACAGTCCTAGTTTACCACAACTGGTTCACATTTCTCCCGCGAAGACAAATGCCTGATCCATATTCAGTGCCAATCGAACGTTTTCGCCATAGCCTTCCCGATGGCTGTGCCATCAATCACCGCAGCAACATCATGGTTACATGCCATCAGCCATATCGTGTTCTGGCAATTGTTGATTGGGCTGGCTGCCTTGAGTATTGCGAGGCCCGCAACGCGCAGTACACTACGAGTATGTTATGAGGAACCGTCGACGAAGTATCTGCCAATGATGCTGCATCAATATGCAAACACCTGGGATCCGTGGGATTATTACACCCCTGCTATGGGATGTTAGGTCAGGCGTGTGGATTTATTATATATATATATATATATATATGATTTTTTTAAACTTCAACTATCACTTACAGCAAGTCTTGTGGAGAACTGGGGGTTGATTCTTTGCCAGGGAGGCACATGATTTTGGGTTGCCGGCTCAACTTTTGCATGCTCATCTGAAGTAGTTATCAGCATTAGTTATCTATGTAACTGGGCTGGCTTTAACTGACTTGGAAATAACATCTCAGCCCCTTGTTAGCTGCTTGTTCTCACTCAAGCACTCACCATGCGTTTCACTCACCCTTCCAGCCATCAAATATTAACCAGTTAAGCCTGATTACAATCAACAAGAAGTTATGCAATTATTGATTGGGAGACCCATGGAGTGTCAAACACATGGTCTTCATTAAATGTGGATATCGCGAGGAGCTGAGTAATGCCAGCAGCAAATAATAAGCGATAACTACAAGGATGGTGAAATGTTGCAAATGGGGAAATTAAGCGCAAACTTGAAGGCTGGCCTTTCATTGTTGACATAGCAGATTTGTTTTGCAATGGAATATGCTGCTTAGTTATGAAAATAAAATAAAATATAATATAATATAATAAAATATAATAAAAAAAAATAAGCAGTTTCTGTTCCTCGGTTTCGAGAACGCTTCAGAAGAAGGTAGTGTTTATGGAGAGTTTCACATGGGGACAGCCGTCACCATATTTTTGCCGAAACTAACATTTCTGGGGAAAAGTCCAGAGAGGAGATGAGGGGCAAGGTATCCAGAGGTTTCTTGAGGGGCGGGAAGAAAGTCTGATCTTCTTCCACCTCTATCCCGTATCAGAGTCTCATATTTCCGGTACCGCTTTTGGCAGTGATGTGAAGTAACTATGAGGATCTCACTCCTGTCAGACTATATACAGCCACTGTTTTTGCTCCTCAGTTTCTGATGCCGAACTACGAATGGAGAGTCACAAGATAGATGGTATAAAAATTCCTTGACCGTAACATTAATGTTGAAATAACAAGAATGGCACGTCGTCCAGAGCCGGCGCGAAACACACTTGCAGATCCAGATCGATCTCCCCGTCCCCGTGTCCGCCCGTAAACAACCCTTTTCGATTTCCATACTTAAGAACACCTCCGTGATATTTGTGTGATTCCTACGGAGAAAACAGGTTCGTACGTAGGGACTTCAGGATTTGGGTTGCAGCCGTTTTCCCAGAGCCATGGAACGGCTTTCTATCTATCTCCCCCGTCATCCTCCAGGATTCAAATGCTTCTTTTCCTCCTGTTTTTGGGGTCAATTGATGCGGGAGAAAGGGATGAGCTTCTTTCACATTTTCACATTATATTCTTACTGAGATGTGAAGTCGTGGAACCCATAGTTATCCCTTTTGAGACACCCAAATATTCCCGTCTGAGGGCATTTCGGAAGTCGAGCTTGGTTGTACTGGTGGATCTACTCCGTACTCGGCAGACCCATGCATGTCGCTGTCAATTCCCGGAAGGCCACGCGCCATGTGATTGAATGATTTTGGACAACCCAGAGGTTTCTTTTCTGGCAGTTAATATGTCAGATTTTATCCAAATAAGTCATTTGACGAACAACGCACTCGGAAATTATAGCGGCATTGATTATCTCCGTTCATGAGTGTTTCCACTAAACAGGCAAGGTCTTTGGAACTGGAGAGCTCGATCCCAGATCTTATCCCCTGCCCGCTGACATTATGGTTGTTTTCTCCGAATTCTTGTCATTTCGGCCATATTTATAATTGCATCTTATTGCATCTTTATTGCTAGACACCACGCTTTCTTGTCAAGATTAGGGCGTTATTTTTTTTTAGCAATATTACCGGTCAATTGTCTTCCCACGCGTTTCAAGGCTGAGAACAACAATTTGTTTGTCGAGGATAATACCCATGTGATGAGAGTTGAATCGGAATACTCGTGGTTGTGTTGCAGAAACGGGAAGAGGGAAAAGGAGGGGGAAGTATCAGAGAGTTTTTAGCCAGTTAGCTAACACAAAGTCCACAAAGACATGTCAATGGGCAAACAAAGTAAATGGAGAATTAATGTCATTATTATCAGCCAACCCTGTGGCGGAAAGCTGTTATTGTGCATGCGATAAATAAGCCGATTCCTGAAGGCGAAACCAGCCTCCTCCTTTGGCTGCCATCTACTCGCGGCGGAAGAACAGGAGGGGTAACCAGTCAGCGAGCACGTATTTCACATACATCTCCACCTCAGCTTCGGGCTCACCCAGTCCGCCTGCTTGCTCGATTCCCACGTAACTACAATTCATAACGGGTTACCGTCCAGTCGAAGGATAGAAGAATTTCGATAGTGCTTGTTCAAGCGGGCGAATGTGTACTGCGCAACACCTAACACACTCGAAGTAGCGCCGTATTAATATCTAGCATATCGTCAGGCGGGATGAAGATGAAGAATGCTGCAGGAATAAAGTAGTTTGTCCAGCAGGCATGAAACGGGTCCTTTGGCCTGCGGGACCGCGGTGTGTTTTGCTTTGCTCGCACCGTCCGTCCTCTCCAGGGCTCTTCAGAGCCTCCTCCAGCTTAACTGGTTGGCCAACCTCCTTGGGAATTCAAGAGCGACTTCTCCGCTTCCCTTCAGTGCACCGCCACAGACCCCTATGGTAGCCGGTTATTCCAACGTTATTTTTTATTTTTTATTTTTTTTAAATTAATTGGCAAGGGGATAACAGGGTAAATAAGCAAGCAGGAGGGATTTAGTTTAATAGGTCCCCTAATACCAACCATTCCACCTCGAAGCCGTGCTCCATATTTGCTCGCCCGTGGGATTCATCAGCAAGTGCCCGGTAACTAACATCCTTGGATGGAAGGCAGGGAACTTCGTTGGACCTTTGGTGTACGACGCCGTTTCCTACGACGACTGCTGATTGATGTCTAGGAGGGCTGTTGCTGATACTGTGTCCTGCTTGTCGCTTAAAGCTACACGCTGCCGGTATCGCCAATCGAGAAAAACGCCTAGGACATGGACTTTCCCTTGTCCCCACCTGGTCGTCTGCTCTGCTCCGGGGATTCCCATAAGGGCGCCGCCGCAACAACTACACGGGCTTGTACGGAGTCTGCTCTAGCCTAGCAACTTCGTGCTGGGGGTTATCCTCGTTATCATTTGCTTGGAATCCTTCTTCCCAACGATCTTCGGTAGCCTCTCAGTCGATGGCGTTGCCCGCCTCTTGGCGAACCCAACTCTGCTCTCTGCGCCTTTTCAAACCTCCAACTACTTACTACTTTAAAAATAAATTCAGACCCCGCCGCCTCACTAGCCCATGATAAATAGCTGACGCATCCTAGAACATCTCTTCTGACATTTTCTACCCTGCTCTCTGGCGACACGCTACGCCCTCTGCGAGTCAGGTGTAGGGAAGATGTAAGTTCCTACGTTGCCAATCATAACCCCTGGGCCGATGGTCTTGGCGCAGCCTCCTGAGGCCCAGTCGATGGGTTCGAATGCTTATCCGCCCACATCGAGGCACCTCGGAACGCCCTGGTGTCGACAAATAACGTGTGCAGAATCTCTGTAGACCGTGCGGGACATCTGGATTTGCCTGCTGTGCCTGGAAGCGCAAGGATGTCGAGCATGCCGCGGACAGGGGACTCTTCTAGAGGTTGGTCGCATTTGATCCTGATAGGTGAGACACCATGCTTGGTGGAACTTCTCATCCATCGTGCTCATGCCTACCACATCGTAGAATTGGGGTACCCCCGAGAGATTGTCCCACTCTATCGATTACCCACAGCCTTCCATTCTGTCCTCTTGTCCCTTGTGCTCGGGTGCTCTGGGTATGTTGGAACCCCGCTGGAGAGTAACACTAGGGGCCCATTTCAAATGCTTTTTGCTCTCCTTCTTAGCGAATGTGCGAGCTTGGTGTCAAAAGAGCAATCCTGGTAATATTCCTTTTGGCTAATATCGTCTGCCAATTGCATTTTTCAATACATTGTGTAGTCACTCCTGGATTCTCCTAATATATTGACAATTCCCCGCTGGTGATAATTTTTGGAACCTTGATGGAACTCCTTCTCTTAGTTTAGTGAGGCGTATACTCCACACTTCATTTCCTTATGAAGTAGATTTTACATGTTCTTCATCCCTTTCTTCAATAGAAACAGCTCTCGTTGCTGGTCTACCGCAACTCTATATATATCAGAGCATTCGTTTCTACGTACCCGCCGCTCCTTACGTCCGGGATATAATAAATAACTATCGCTTTCAGGGGGTAAAGGTTGAGAATACGGCTGACATATATCGATCATATATCCACAGCGGTCACATCCGATGTGTTCCAGGAGGATATGACATTGTTCTATACGTCCTTTAGGGATCGATAAAACCGAAGGAACGAAACCACCACCTTCAATTAGACGACCGCAGACATGGTCAACCCCTCAGATAAATATGGGCTCTGTCCGGTCCCGTTCATGCAGGAAGACCTCTTCCCATCCAGTGGCGGATGTGAGTCAGTTTTCAATTTTGTGTGTTCTCATTTGATATAACCACTGTTCCCTTGAGGTGCCTGTGCTAAAACTATACATTCACAGTTGTGACCGGCAGATGGTGCGAGAAAATCCCCGTTGGTTTACAAGGGAATATCTCTTGTTGTCTCCCATGCCCGCATGCAGGCTGGAGGTACACTGATGGTATTGACATGCCTCCTCTCCCCCGCTGATTCGAACTTGATGTTAAACTAACATAACGCGAAAGAGTTTTTGAAGAAAATGGAAGTTGCGAATTGGATTGCAGTTGTAATATTCTCCTTAAACTGTCTTCTGTTGCTCAGCTTTGCGGTTTTGCCCGTGAAATGGACGCACCGCCATTATCTGAGTGTCTGTTTCGTGATCGGGATTATATTTATGGAGGTATTTGGTCACTCATTTCTGTACCCTTTCAAAATCATTTTCATATTTGGTCCGAGTAGGCATCCGGTTGACTCGCGTTTGAACAGCTCTCATTTATTGTCCCGTTGATCGCTAAACCAGACGAATGCTTTAACGAGATTACCCCTAACGATATGAAGTCGGATCTAGCGTGTTCCTTTTCAGGCGCATTTATTATATTTGGTGGCTGGGCCGTCATCGTATGGAGTATGGTCTCAATTCTTTTACGCTCTGTGTATTATTCCAAATATATCATGCTCGCCATGCTAACCTTGTGCCAAAGGTTTCTGTCGCGCCTTATCACTACACCTGCAGATATGTTGGGATGTTGTTCCTGGGAATAAGTTCTTTTATACGACGTTGACATTAGGTTGGATAATACCGGCGATTGGATTGGCTCTTGGGTTAGCCATAACAGGGACGTCATATCGATTTGGTAGCATATGCCATATTAATCATGACAATAGCTTAGCGGATTTCTGGGGCCCATTAATGGCCCTAGCTGCTGCAGCGCTGGTGATCCAGTTCGTGACGTTAGCATATTGCATCCACGTCTACGTCAGATCACTTCTTGACAACAACCCTACCACGGATAACAGTTCTGTTCTTCCATCGTCCCACCCCAGCAGTGTGCGGACGCTCTCAGCACGCCAAGCGTACCGTCGTGTGAAAAGGGTTATCCAGTTGCAATGGAGAGGAATTGCCGTTGTGCTTACAATTATCGTGAACGTGATTTTCTTCACTGTCATATTCCTATCCCTGGATAACAGTGTCAGACGGACACCGGAGCTGGCGGAAAACTCCAAACACTGGGTATTCTGCCTTGTATTTTCCCATGGGAATAAAAAATTGTGCGCACCAAGAGCCTCACATCTAGGCCCCAATGAGGCGTCCATCTTTGCCGTCTTGGTTCTTTTAGCCCTAAGTGGACTATGGACCCTTCTCTTCCTTGGTCGATACTCCATGTTTCTTGGCTGGATAGACCTCATCAAACGAAAGACGATGCGCAGCGGAGAATTCGTGTCCGCGGATGCTCGTGGTGGCGCTTCCAGCCGAGCCTATGAGATGATAAACCCATCCCGAAAAGAAGAGGTCAAGACGCCTGACCTTCTACTATCTTCAAGCCCTTCGCATCTCTCGATGTCCACTCTTCGATTTTCCAATGGAAAAGTCGATTCAGAAGCTTATACTCGCGAAATCAAATATACCAGTCCTGCACTTAGCTTTTCCACACCTCGTCCCCCGAGTGCTTCCCATAATAATCAGCACCACCGCTACACGAACAGTCAAGATTGGAATCCGCAGTCATCGTTTGCTCGGAGCGGGCCCGGAGGACCATACTGGTATGACGAAACCGACCCGTGACAATTCCTCTTTTGAAAAAAAAAAAAAAAAAAAAAAAAAAAAACCAAACCTTTTTCGTTGTACAAACTTTTTATATCTATTCATTCGGCCAATCGGCTTGCGCCTCCGATTTCATAGCATATACTTTCGCTTCCGGGCCATTTTTCCCTTACGCCTCTAAGACTGGATTTGTGGCCAGCGTTGAACCATGGTACCTTTCCTTCTGTTGTGTACGCGATACGCTAATGCAGAGCTTAATGCCTTTCAGACTCTCGGTAGGGTATCTCTCCCTCCTAAATTCGTTTATTTGTTCACACCCTTTCGGAGTTTCCATTGTGCCCATTTCCTGTTAAACGTGTACTTGTATGTCTTTGGCCATTCCTATATTTTGCGGAGCCCCATGATTCGTTTTATAAATTCGGCCTATGGAAAGATGGCCAGAAGGGAAAAGTGGAAAACGCATTCGAGTTTTTGTGTTCCCCATGGTGTATTAAAACGCCGGAATAATGCCTCTTTTTTTTTTATATATTTTTTATGGTGTCTTTCTGGGATCAAGCATGGCGTGTGGCAGCGTAGGGATTTCATTTTTACCTCTTATCCGCGCTCGACTTTGCTTAATATGTTTTCTTGGATGGGGTATCTGGTGGCGTTAATTTCTTGCCTTTCTGTTATCGTTGTTCCCTACACACAGACCGTGGCCATGTAACAATCCAAATTGGAGAGAGCCCTGGGGTTAACTACTGTGTGTGCTTTGAAGAATCTTGTCTGGGAGATCGATACCAACCATAGTAATTCACGCTTTCATGCTTAACTATTGGAATAATTATCGGTTTGTGATTTCGAGTAGAATTGGAAAAAACATTCGTTGGATGGTTCTAGGTCATAATCCCTGGGCCTAGGATTCTGGTCTATGTATCAGGTTAGGCGATGGGACAACACGGAGCATTTCCTCGTATAGTCTGATTCTTTACAATCCAGAAAACCAAGAGCAATTCCCGTATTTTCCTGGTCTTTCAATTGGGTGTTGTCTTTGGAACGGAATGTGTTGCAAAGTTGACCTGATGCCAGGGACATCTCCCTTGGAGCCAGCCAGTTTCGTTAAATATCAACATGTTAATTGCACGACACGAGAAAACTTTTTCCCATATTTACCCCTATGCAACAGTTAAAGTTGCACGTAGGCATCGTAACCCTTTTCAAAACATTCACCCCGTGCATTTCAACCCTTCAGGCCTTTCAGCGGAGAAAAGCTTCAACCAACAGGAACAGACCTAGGGCTGCATTGTCCAGGAAAACCGCTTTTTGGTCAAAGAGAGAAAGAGTTCGCTGGATCCAGGAATGCTCGGCATGTTTTGTACATTAGGGAATATAGCTGTCCATTACACGTCCAACCGCTCCATCCCACAGCTTTCCATGGGCATGAAATCTCATCTGGCGCATGCATCCTAGCATGGGTAGGAGTTAAGGGGAATCGCGGGCCGATGCAACCAACACAGGGATTCCCCTACTACGGATCTGTGCTCACAGGGGATGAATATGTACAAACTCCCAACCATCTAGAAGCTATTTTCTTAAGCACATGGGTAGGACTAGAAAACTAATCTTTCTAGACGTTTTGGCCTGCTCAGCCCGTATTTAACAAGAGGAAGACCATATCCCAACTAGGCAGAACCTGGGTCATTTCATCCAAACTCTCTGATCTCGAACATTCTCGGTGCTGGGCATGTGTTTTGTCAAGGGCCAGATTCCCGATGCTAATTTTGACGCAGACTCGAGCCCACAAAAACCTCATCCAAATACATATATCGCACATGTAATGTTTCCGACGACGTTGTGCAATTCCTCTTGCCTGGAGGTAGCAGCCTCAGCGGAGGGGCGCAAAAAGCTCTCAGGTCCTTTAAGGTATAAAAAGCAGTACATATTCCACATGCATTTCTGCTCCTCTCGTCCCCGATTTTCTTCAGTTATAGGTTAATAATACCGAGGAAGGTCGGCGCTTTGGCAAGGCAGAGGATAAGAGCTAGCAGGATAATAATTAGTTACATGGTAAGCAATCATTAAGTCCGTGCATTTGGGAACAGCCATTGTAGTCGTGCTATCCTGAACAATTCATGGCCAGCTGGCATGAATAAAGAAGACGTCCTTAGCTTGCCCAATGCTGAACTGGGAACGGTCTGGGGCAGCTATCAGCGGGCTGTCGAACACACAGACAGGACAGAACCGCTGGCACAGATATTGATTTTTTGCAATAAATTCAAGAATTTTGCTTTCAGGCGTGATTGCTGGGGTGGCCCGCCCCCCTCTCATATTCTCCCCTCGCGCTCAGCACGTCTATCTTGAGTGTGGTGCTGGTGGAGCCTCGAAAATGTCTTCGGTCTGCCAGTGATAATAGCATTGTCAATATGAGTTCGACAATCAAGGAAGAGCGTTCCCTGGATTTGGAATCCAAGATTGCACATTGTCGTTGAAGAACTGTTTTCGTACCCAAGATATGGGGATCCAAGGATTCTCGAGAGTTCAGATTTGCAGTCCCGCTCGGGTAGCCCTTGTCCACTGTATATCTTAAGTTTTACACCTTGGCCATACGCTGCTGAATTTTTGTATAAGTGAAAACTCACATCATTGATTGCCTTTTTATATATATATATCTCTTGGTTAGGTGATTAATTAATTCAATCTGGTTGGTTTTCTTTTTTTTTCTTTTTCTTCTTCCGATCAAGTTGGAGGATATGACAAAGGCAAAAGTAGGCCACGGAGGATGGTTTCTTGCCGCTGATCTACGAGTACACCGTCGACCATGCAAACCATTCAGCTGAGGGTTAACCCCCATCTTCTGGAGCGAACAAAACAAGGTACGGTACAATTGTAAGCTAGTTGATCTCTTCCAAAGCTCATTAGATTCAATCAAGGGCTTAGCCGGTTAGAGCAGGCCTTATATAGTCAAAGTTGGACATTTTGGTTTATTTGGAGCGAAATAGGAAAATCAAACTGGCGTGAAATAAAGAGCAAGAAAAGAAGTAGTAAAGTAATTTTTGAAGAAAACACATCACATTTTTTTCGCCATGGTCATCCATTCAACCCGCGATACTTCATTGAAAAAGAGATTAAAAGGAGAATCTTACAATATTCTGCTATGATACAGTGGAATTTGAATTGCCCAATGTTTCGGCCAAAAGTGATAAGAGAAACCAAAGCAGGTGAACAGGGAATATGGGGGGAAAGTGCCGTTTGGGAGAGAGGTTTAAAATAGATCCATCTCTTGGGCTGCAGCCACGTGTTTGCTAGACTTGTTTTCATTCAAATGACAGTCAAAGCTTTCAAATTTTTGCGCCGGCTGTATCGATTACCATGCGTTGACTTCGAAATTTTCCTGTGTAACATTAGACTCTCTGCCTCCTTGAATTCTGTTGGGATAAGGGGAAAGAAGTTACCTCTGAGAAGTATGTCGTAACAACGGTACGATCCTGGAATTTCCTCCCTGCAAGGGCTTTGAGCGCCTTCGAGGCCGATTCGCTATTATCAAATTTGACATAGATTTTCCCAACACCTGCAGATTGTTTGTTGTTCCCAGTCGGCCTCGGAACTTTGAGTTCGACAACTTGTCCATATTTTGAGCATTCATCACGAACGTCATCGCAGATTTCTATATGCAGTACGTATTATTAGAGATAATCGAACGGGGGGATTATTGAATAGAACAAAACACGGGGCCTGCACACCTTCGTAATCGTCATTATCCAGTAGCTCGTCAGTAGTTACCATGTTTAGCAATTGAAGCACACGGCCAGCTTCAATGTCTTGCGAGGTTGTTTTGGCATACATGGACATGGCATTAATGCCCATATCAAGCCCAGTAGCCTGGATGGTTCCGATACTTGCACGAACCACTTTTAGCCTCTTGTTGCCGAGTTCCATGCCATTTAGATTCTCAACCGCGATGTCTGTCGACATCGGGTCAAGATACTCGCAGAATGCAATGCCCTGTAGATAAAGTCAGTGTCAATGTTGCAAGGGGTAAAACGGGTCACTTACCCGAGATTCACCCGTCTCACTATCTTTAACAAGAACGAACGACTTGAGCTCCCCAAAGGAAACGAGTAGCATGGTGACCGGCTCTTCCTCAATAAATGGAGGGATATTCGAAACACATATCTTGTTTGGTGTATCAGGAACAACGTTGGAAACAACACCCTCCCGGTGAGGCTCTTCTTCGCCTCCAACTGGAAGAATGTAGTCCTTCGGTCGACGTAACGATAGCCCTTGATTAGACCCATTTGCCTCTCCATTTGATGTATCCATGTCACCAGTGTCCTCCATAGTGATACCATCAAATGCCAGCGCAACGGTAGCATCAGCAGAACTTTTAAACTCAAGTAAACCAAAACTTCTGTCTTTTGATAGTTGAGCGGACACACACGGATCGACCCCTTTGATAACATTGAGACCATTCAACTGAAGGTTAAAGAACTGCACCAAGCTCTCCTCCGTTGCTGATGGCGGTATATTATGAACGAAAAGTCGCTTCGCCTGGCGAGAGTTTGAAGGCCTGAGAACGGTATTAGTCGATATTCCAGGAACAGGTTGGTTCATGAAAGCTTGTAGACGGCTCGGATCCACTGCCTGTTGGCGGGGTGCGCCAGGGAGAGGGAACATGCCTATATGAAGAGGTTAGGTAAAACTCAGTTGCGCATGGATACGATATACATTTTGACTCACCGGAGAGCTTTGCCTGTTCCGCTGTTACATGCTCATAACCAGGGGGTTTGATATCCCATTGAGTAAGTCGGCGCTTCCGTTCGAGGATAGGAACAACGTCCGTCAAGTCTGGTGTGGGTTCTCTCTTTTTAGGTGGTGGACTTGCACTCCTCTTTCGGTCCCTGCCACCACCGAATGCATCGCGCTCTCTACCTCTGCCTCCCCGGGATCTTTCGTCCGGTATATCTCTCTCGCGTCGGGAAGGTCTATCGTCGTCATCTTTCCTATGATCACGTCGCCTATCACTTCTATCTCTATCCCATTCTCTCTCCTCTCGCCGGCCTGAATATCTATCCTCCCGCTCTCTGGCGCGATAGTCACGACTAGAAGAATACAGGTCTGTCTCTTGTTCGCGCCGCCCTGACCTTGAACCGTGGTGAGGTGATCTTGACCTTCTTCTTTCTCTCTCCCGTCTGTCACTGCGATCGCCACGGCTACTGCGGTCTCCACGATCCCTTCGCTCTTCTCGGTCAGAGCGACCAGCTCCCTAAAATCATAAAGTATAAGTAAAAAATAAGCGAAAGAGAGACGTATGAGATTTTCAGACACCGGGAAGAGCGGAAAAGAGTAGCAACATACGTAGAAGTCCTTCGACCGCCCCGGATCTGAAAAACACCATGTGTCAGTAATGAGCTCATTCAGGGATCAGTTTGAGGGCTCTTCTATCCTTACCTCTGGAGGAATGACTCTCGCCGTTCATCCTGCCACTCAGCTGTTGGATGGAGGGAATGAGAGTTCAAAAAGTTCACTGGAGCGTAGCTGAAATAGAGTATGTGACGAGTACGAAACCTGCAATCGAATTTACTGGGAGAAAGCAGCACGGACAGCAATGGCTAGAAATATATAGGCAATGGTTATGTGCTCTCGCTCACAGTCGACATGTAAAAGGCAGAGATGGCGTGAACGTCGAAGAGCCGCGATTTAGCTCAAGAAGGCTTGGCGCGGTTTTCTGCCAGCTCTGCCCGACTCGGCGATGTCACGTGTTGCTTCCCGAAACTTTCCACGGTTCCAAACGTTGTTGAACGCGATTATCTCAGGGGTTGGTTCAACCCACGTTTCTATACGACAACCTTTTTTAACGACTGGTGAGGGGCTATCAGTCTTCTTCCCGCAATGTCAATTGGCGCCTTTTCAGAATGGCGAGAGCTGCCGATAAGCTTGGCTGAGCTCTGCATAAACACTACTCTCCGCTGTGGCCAATCATTTCGGTGAGAGCCCAAAAAAACCACAGCATCAAATCTATGGCTGCGCATGTCTAACAACATCCCACCTTCTGGGCGGTTTAGATGGCAGAAGTCTGGAGAAAATGAATGGAGTTGCGCCCTTTATGGTCGCATCGTCTCCCTACGTCAAGACTCCACTCATCTTTATTATCGATCATATTTCCCCCCCACTGCATCTTCCCTTTTGACCCCTCCGTCTTCCGTACCACCATTAACGACGGAAGAGTTGCCCAAGAAGCTTGATGATACAGATGCATTAATCTCCAACTACTTTAATTTAGAGTTGAACCTTAAGAGCTTGTATGAGCAATGGTCAACGGCAGACGAAAATTTCAAGAAGAAAGCTCCCCAGTTCACTGGTATCCGTATCTTGCGACAGAATGCGTGGGAGGCGCTTATTTCGTTCATTTGCAGTAGCAACAACAATATAGCACGAATATCACAAATGGTATATATAGATACTCAAACAGCCTAACGTGTCTTCTTTCTTGTTCCTAACAAACGCTTTGTTCAGGTAGAGAAGCTATGCCTGAACTACGGTCAATTTATCGGATTCATAGACAAGAAACCGTATCATGATTTTCCGGCCCCCCAAGCATTGGCAGGTCGTGATGTCGAAGCACGCCTCCGTGAACTTGGATTCGGATACCGGGCAAAGTATATTTACCAAACTGCTCTTATTGTTGCCAACCATCGCGAGGAAGGATGGTTAAATTCTCTTCGTAATCCAGAGTGTCCATCGTTTGGTGCAAAACCGTTATCTGCTGGAGAAATGATGGAGGGAGGTAGAGAGGGATATCGGAAGGCTCATGATTGCCTCCTCGAGTTGCAAGGGGTTGGCCCCAAAGTCGCGGATTGCGTCTGCCTTATGGGGTTAGGCTGGGGGGAAGCCGTTCCCGTTGATACTCACGGTAGGTGTCAATTCCCGCTATGTTTATGGCTAAGCTGTGATTTAGGTGCTAAATTGTTTTGCAGTATGGCAAATTGCGCAGCGTGATTATAAATTTGGCAAAGGCAAACATAAAAGTCTAACCAAAGCAACATACGATGCTGTTGGGAACCATTTCCGGCGCCTTTGGGGAAAGGAGGCAGGCTGGGCGCACAGCGTCTTGTTTACGGCGGATCTGAAAACATTTTCAAAACGGTTAACCAATGAGGTAACCCTTGATGAGAAAATGGTTATAAAAGAGGATCCAGAAATAGAGGCGGAGATAATCACTAAGGTTTCAGACAAGAGAGAAATATCTTGTGATTTAAAGGATGCTAAGACACAAGATGACCATATTGAAACTAAATCGAACACTACTACGAAGAAACGACGAACTCGACGGGAATGACCTAACTAAACTCCGCAGTTCGTTCATCCTTCTCTCTCCGATCAAACTCTCTGTCGACGAGCAGTCCCACAACAGTGACGCTACCAAATCCTGATATGATACCATACCCTTACGTCCCCTAAATATTTTTCTTCCTTATCTCGTCAACTTGAGCCAGTTGTGCTGTTGAGTCACATCAAGGAGAAGTGTGAAACCCAAATTTCATGAGAAGCCTGCCTGCAAACCAAACTGCGTCAACCCTGAACTTCCTCCCATCTCCTGTTACCACCGGGACACCCCAAATAGCGCTACAGTCATTCCCTATCGATACGACGCAGAGAAAGACAAACCAACAAACGAAGAAGTTGACAAAAGAAGTTGACTCTAGGGCAATACTAACAACCACCAACGCCCACTCAAAACTACGGTCTCATCGTCCTAATTGAACAAACTAGCCATTAAACTCCTCCGACGTCTTCCCTGTTCGCAAGAGGCAGAGCATCTAGTGCAGAATTTAAGATTTCAGTCCCGTATTTAGTTTATCCTGTACGGTCCATGTGACTATTGACTTCATCAAACTCTGTTATCTGTACCACCCAAGGAAACGCCATATTACGGATCCCATCGTGTGTTTGGGTATGGAGTGGAAAGGGGAATATATCTTTGGTGGAAATGTGGATTTTTTACTCCGGTCTGGGATTGAGGGCGAAGAAGAATAAATATAAAGGGGAAATAGCGTGGTGATATAAACAATGGCAAGCTACCGGGTTTAAGAGGTTGGCAATTGATATATGTCCAAATCTATCTCTGTAGCAAAAGTTTCGACAAAACATGAGTACTAACTTCCTAAAACTGGTTTTTGACGACATCACTTTTCATTGCGACAAGAGGAACCCTTTAGCGTGTGCTCTGTCTAGTTTTACATCTGTTGCATTTGATTCCATGTTTGTTCCTTGAGCAGTTGTTCGCGCCACGGATATTCTGTACCCAGCCATTGTAAACCAAATGCGTGAAAGCACATATTGTTAGGGATCAGATGATCCCTATAGAATTGTACTTGTCCTTGGTCCAGTATAGACTACTGGCGATAAGGCCTTTTTGCCAGAAAGTCTAACATATATATATATATATATATATTGACATCGGTTTTTGGGTATGAGCTTTTGCTTATGGATGGGAGTATTTACAAGAAACCGTTTATTTGGCCAATTAAATGGCAACACCTAGTAAAGTTAAAAAAGCTCGTTTAAATGCAATTTAGATAGACGATCTGGAGAAATCTCACTTTTTGCGGTCAAATGGAACAGTTGTAACTCTCTAATTTCGGCCCAAATATCCCACGTCCATTAGCCGTACGTCCTTGGAACACCCTCTCTAACCTTTCACCCTTTTCATCCCCACGGTCTATTCAACATACAGTTACCAATTTAAAGGCCTGCGAATGATTTCCGATTCAGATCAGGTCTCGAGACGTCACCAACAAAAGCCCTTTAGAATTACGTTGCCGTATCGCGGGATCGACAAAATGTAGATCATGTTGTTAGCATTGTTTTTGTGGAAGCAAAATATCAGTGTGTAAAATTAACAGTCTAAGACATGGCTCCTTGAGCTCCATTAACACCTACATTAGATGTATTCGTTCTGACAGTCTCGAGCCAAAGAATATATTGCAAGGATACGTCAGTTGTATTTCACAAATTCACAAATGCAGAGGAAACAGAACAAGAAACAAATTAGCAATTGCTATAGGGATATTTTTTTTTCTTTGGACAACGTGTTAGTTATTCTATAAAGATAAGAAATTTTTATTTTGAAACTGATCCGTTGGTTGGTCCTGCAGGTCCGATTCGCTGCTAGAAATATCTTCAAAAAAAAAAAAAAAAAAAAAATCTACACTGCATGCGAAATTCCTTGGGGGAAGTAACTAACTATCCACTCCCTCCCTCTCCCTCACACACCTTTTTTTTTCCGAGGCAGAAACAAATTCCGAAAACACCAAGTCGAAGTCACCTGTATCAGAAGGGAACACTGCCACTAGGCGGGAGGCTGCTCCGGCATAGTCGTCTAGGAGGCTGAGTCGGACATGTCTAAAATCTTCCACCGCGGCTGCCCCTGTTCCTGCTGCTGCTGGTGATGAGTGTCCGCTGGCGGAATGGGTTCCCAATCCATCATCTCATGCGGGTTACGTGATGACTGAAGAGTTTCAAGATGCTGCTTAAGAGTATTGAGCTCCTGGGTGACAATACGGTTGCGTTGGAGAAGGGACTTGTATGCATGAAGGAGGTGGTGGCTGACGAGCGGGAACGTACGTGGCGCGGCGGAAGAGTTGGCTCCGTCCGATCGACGCTGGCGATTTCATGTGGTAATGCTGCATTGTTGATCCACACATGGGGAGGATGTACCACACTTCCTGGCAAGGTAACGGCGCTTCATTTGGATCTTGGAAAGACGGATAAGAAGACTCTAGTCTGACGCAAGGTTTGAACGTGTTCGGTAAGCCATTGTACCATCTGCCGAGTTCTGTTTGAAGCCTATCCCATCCCTCAAAAGCAGTTTGCCGCCAGACACCAATGGACGAAGATTCGGCATGGACATTCTTTGTGCTGCTTAAGTTGTTACCTGTTGCTATAAAATTCACAACTTTCGAGAGAATCCAGATTAGTGCATTCGATATTAAATCTTCTTTCATGGCATCTCCTTCTGGATATGCCGAACCAGTTGTATTACTTGGCCGGACAAATCCAGCATTATCCAACAGAAGGCCAGCTTCAGTCCAAAGGAACAAATCTTCCGTGTTGAGCCTTGTCTGGCACTGGTTAATGACTAATCATCGTTAGCAGAACCTTTACAATACGGGTCAAACGTTTCCACATGGAAGATCTCACAAGCAGATAAATAATCCTGACGAGCGAAACTCCAGAACGTCGCCTTCCGCGCCTTGGAGAGCCCTAGCTTTTGTGCGCCTGCTAACCCCAGTTGCTCCACTGGCATCATACCAGCTTCTGCAATATCAAGCAATGACTTGTCTCCACTCAGATGTCGATTTCAAGTTGATCCGGTTGTCTCGAGAAATTCATACACTGATAGAATTGCCGCTGCCGCAAGTACTTCATCTGAATGTGTGCTTGATAGACAGCTATTTGGATACTCCTGCCGTTTCTGAGACCGACTAGAATCACTACACAGCTCTGGTTCCGGGTGCAAAACTTCCATCAGAAGCTGGATAGCTTTATCATAATATTTTGCACCGTGATAATACCAGTCAATCTTCTCAGCATCAGGCCAAACTTCCATTGTGGACTGTCTACCACATATGCCTCCTATAATAGCCTTTTTGCCTTTCACTCGCCCCAACTGCTTAGCTTCATATGCGCAAGCGGCGTATTTTAGCAAGGGCTCAGTGATGGCTTTAACAGGAACGTAGGAGGCGAAATATTCGCCAAAATCAAAAAGATCCATCCTGAAAAATATCAGCTATCGGTTAAACCATTTACATTGACCATATCGTTATTAGAAAGAAACTTGCCATTGTCCTGGAGCTTCTGAAAAATGATGTAGCAAGAATGCAATCTTACGGTCAGACTCAACATCTACACCCACTTCAGCTCCTAGACCTGAAATCAACTCTTTCGACCCAGATGGCGTTGAAGCGCTGAGTGCCATTTTGCTATGGGGTGGAGACGACTGGAGATTCGGGTCGATAGGGGAGAACATTGATGTTGACGGGTTGAGTATAAAATTGATATTGTTGTTCGGGGAGGATGTTGATGCGGATGAGAATGTTGGAGCTGGCATGCTTGGACGTGTAGGGTTTACGGAAACTGTTAGTGCCAGAGGAGCTGGCAGTTCAGTCTGACTCGAGGCAGTATTATTCGCAAGATTACTGACAATATCATTTCTACTCGTCGACGGATGGACTGGGGGGGAAGAGTTCGGGCGAAGGTGATGATAAGGTCCCCCGGTTACCGCCTCTGAGAGAGCCTCCAGACCCTGTGTCTGGGCATCTAGTGATGATTGATGACGGTAATTATCATTAGCATCCCAAGTTAGAGGTTGTGGGTTGGCAGCAGGATCGCTGGTTGACGCGATAGGGCGGTCATATTCCTCCACGAACGGATCGGAATTTTCACTAAACGTAACTAACAGAACAACAATTATTAATCTTTTTTTGTCAAGAAGGTTTCCGTGCGGGCCTCAATCGAATAAATACGGATATGAAGGTATGGTACACAATCAGTACATATCAGCCACCGTACTTTGTTTGGGGATCTCCAACCAAACGCTATTCTCATCAAAGGTATTTTTGTATGAATAAAATCGCCTCAAGGAGCTTCCGTCACCATTGCCCGTCACCGCTCCATTCATATTCATAGACGCATTCTGTTGGTGACGGAAAACTATGCCCTCGCTGGGTCGACACTCACGAGATGCCTTCCAACATTGCGAACATCGCGGCTTCTGTTCGTCGCATTTCAGCTATCGGGATTGACACGTCAAGCTGGTATTGCAGAAAACACAGACTTAGCATGTATGGGAACAGGCTGGCAGATACCACCAGAAATTCGAACGGGAGGGCCAACCCCGGATATGGCATTGTATGATACGCAAACGGAGTCACATACCACCCAGTTCTTGAGCGCATGGTGAAAGCATGCAATTGAAAACAGCAGGTTTCCTCTTTTGTGATTTATCTTTCTTCTTTTCTTGTCTTCTTCAAGATAATATAGTCAAACAGTTTACTTCGGAGCGTTGAGAGTGCCAGTGGCATTGAGTGGCAGGGGAGTTGATCGATCCATCCCCATCTGCCCCATTATCAGCGAAAATAAAAAAGGAAGTGGAGATTAGTCGTCCCAAGTCCGGCTGCTTGTTTAGTTAAACAGATGCCTCGTTTGGTTTAGTTGACGGAATGTTTCCTTTGAGCTTAGAATCGTTGCAGCGTCTGTCACGCTTGCAATTGCAATTGGCGAATCTCGAGGTTCTCGGGCATGTTCATCGTTAACGAATGATAATTACACCCGTGTAAGTTACCCGGCTAAATAGATACACATCTCAAAAATTACAATATAAAATCAAGGACAGAGGTTTTCCCATATAGCAATGCTGCCAAACCAAAGTACCTGTTTAAGCTCTGGCAAATCCTATACCTAGGAGGGATTTCGTTACTGTATTAGCTACTAGATGCAGAGAAACCTATTTCTCCTTTTATCTACTTTGCTCGTTGAAAAAATGCTTTTTCCAAGTTAACTTCAGCACCAAGCAATGTGTGTTTCAAGCATAAAAAGCGAGCGAAGAGGGAGTTGAATGCTTGTTGTATATATTAAAACTCAAATACCCACTTCGACCTTACCATAATCACTCGAACAATAAAAGGACCAAGTTGACTGTAAAGAGAACATAGGTCTCCCGGTGTTTCTGTCCACATAGTTACTGATGTATAACCCTGTCCTCCGTATAAATGTATCTATGTTTAATGAATCGCGTGTGATCTTAAGTAGTAGGATGATCTGATGTAATTAGCCGGTAAGCGACGTAATTATCAATCCTTGGCATCAATTGGAGCTGCGATTATGAGGATACCGCGGAAAGCTGGTTCGGTTCGGTTGGGCAACCTGGAAAGCCAAACCCGCTCCGCTACCTAGCTATCCAGGTACGTATGTACAGATGATAACGTGCATGGCTCATAGCTATTTCGGTAGAAAGGGAAAAGAAAATGACTGAAGAGAAGAACGACTCATGAAACAAAAGATTGGAAAAGAAGGGAAAGGATTGAAAAAAGATGAAAGGATCGTTCGGTCAAGATCAGTAATATCTAATAGGGGTGACCGGGGAGAATATAAAAAAGGAAGTGTAGAGGAAAGCCAAGAAAGGCAAAGATGAAGGAGTGTCCAGGTGCAAGAGACACAAGAACATGTTGAAAATATAATTAGTTCAGCAATAGGGACAGACAGTTAAATGGTGACAAAATCTAGGAAGAATGTTTCCAGTCCGTACACCTTGCAGTGAATAAAAAGAAGATAGGCACACACAAAGCAGAGGTATGTTGGCCAAATATCGCGATCAGATGGGAAAAACACCAGAGGGGAAAAAATCCTTTAGGAAAAGAAAGAAAAAGAAATAATAACGCCAAATGTATAGAAATATCAAACAGGGTATTTTCCTCCCGCCCAGACGCCATTACACAAATAATGTAAAAAAAGGTGAAGTGAAAAACAAAACTCTAAATGATTAACAGGAATCCCAGGAAGCCGGAATGATCCATATCATATGACTGGTACGCCAGATGTTCGCCGTCTCAAGGAGTCCAAGAGGTGTTCAGGAGGGATTCGTTGTAGGTCTGGACGACGGTCTGTGCCTCGAGGCACTACGACATAACCTTGTCGGCGACGCTGGATGCGATTCAAGATAATTCCAATCAGAACAATCAGGAATACACAGCCCAATGCAATACAGAAGGAAACCAGAATGACGATTCCTCTCGAATGTGGACGACCTGTATCGAATATATGTCAGAATGTGTCTCAAAAGTGTGCTGATAATGCAAATGGTAACACTTACGGCCCCCTCTGAATGTGTTTTTATTTTCAGAGAATAGCTCTGTAACTATGCCTGGCTGACCATCGCCCTTCGTCGACAGGACGAATGGTGTTAATGTGGTTCCATTATATAGAGCACCAGATGCACTACCAAAAACAGGGATTTCGAGCTTGCCAGAAATGAAAAGCACTTGGTCCTTGTCGAGCGTGGTAGTTTCGAGATGGTTTTTCCTAACCCCAAGAACCTGGATCCCATATATCGTACTCTGTTTCTCGAAGAGAGAACCAGATGCCAGGAAATTCGAACCATCATAAAACACAAGGAACGGAGAGCCATCGGACGACTTCCCAGCAACCCAGAAGCGAGAACCGTCCTCCCTAGCAAGGCCAAGAGCCGTGACGGGCCCAGGAATAATGTCAGAAGTCGCCCCACTTATTGAAGACCAAGCTCGAGTCGTCGCATCAAAAGTAGCCAAAGTAGTTTGATTATTTGCAACCGTGAAATTGCCCGCGACGATAAGTTTATCCTTGTTCGCCCACTGAAGCACGGAAACGTTGCCCTGAATACCATTGCCCACCCTCGTCCATTGGTTCGAAGCAGGCTGGTAATTGCATACAGCCGGACACGGCAACCCACCAACTGATTCGAATTGGCCACCGACGTAAACATCCGTAGATTCTGGACGTGGAGCGATGGAGCTTACAACAACATTGCCGTCACCTTCCAAGGCTGCTGGCTGACGCGCCTGGTATTGCATGCGTTGGAGATCGTAGGCGACAAGACCGCTTATATTTGACCCGGAAACGCTACCGGTGACAATCCCGCCAGCGAACAGTGAATCTCCCTGGAAACCCATCGCCAAAAACGTTGATGCAGTGTCAAGGCCAGACCCGGCACCAGTGATGGCGTTGTTGCGTGATCCGTCCATGAAAAGTAAATTATTAACGGTTGCGCCATTCTCTCCCTTTGCAGAGAAATGGCCAGCTAGTATGGTGAGGTTACGTCCCGAGCGATTGTAGAAGAGTCCTGTAGTTACAATGGGAACATTTTGCAAGGCGGCGAGGGGCTCCTGTAGCGATGAGCTTGCTTCCATCGACTGTATGTTGACGGGCAGTGGTTGAAGGCCAAGACCTTTATTGTCGGTTAATGCAACAGCTCCACGAGATAAGAGTCCTCCCGACATAAGGCTACCAGCAAAAAGGGTGGTTACATTCTTAACCGTAAGTGAAGTGGTAAGCTCTCCAATAAAAACCGATTGGCTGACGTCGAGGTTCTGCAGCCAATTCTGTCGAGAAAGAACCCAAATCGCGAAACCTAGGGCTATTTGTTGGGGATGTTTATCGAATGGAAGGATATGCGTAAAGTTTCCACTGACAGCAACAGCAGGTTCAGGCTTGTTGTCTGTTAGGTTGAGAGAGAAATAGACAATGGACTCCACTCGACCATCTACACCTGCCCCTAGAGGACCCCATGCCTTGTTGGATAGAGAGTATGCAGCAACGTTACTAAGGCTCTTTCCACTCTCACTCGTACCACGCAATGTGCTCGAGAAGTTACCACCAACGAAAAGAGAATCTTCAAAAAGCAACAAAGAATTAACCTGAGAATTCAGCCCTCCATCTGGCAAAGAAACAGACTTGCCATCCGCGATGGACATAATGTTGCTGAATGAGGAGCTGGAGAAATTTCCAGCAATGAAGAGAATATCCTTCCCCAAAGCCAAACTCGTTACTGACGCGCCAGGATCAAGATCCATTCCCGCTCTATTAATGGCGGACTTTGAGAAGTCTACGCTGGTTTCCTTAACTTCCGGATCAAACTCGTATAGACCGTTGAGACCGCCAGTCGACGAGATGAGTTCGAACCGAACACGGGATGCAACAACGTGAATGTTTTGTTGGCCAGCCTTAGTAGTTAGCTTCACGGTTGGTCGAAAGTTACTGCTGCTCACATCGACAAAGCCCAAGAATATTTGATCATATTTGTCAAAATTATTCGTCTGGTATATCACGGTCTGCTCCTGCCTGTCACTATTGGAGGAGAACGACCACGTAACATCAACCATGCCACGGGTATCACATGTATTGTCTTGTAGACATCCAGGAGTAAAAACAGTCACTGAGTAATTTCCCGACTGTTTTATGTCCGGCATGAAGGTCACTGATGTCGGCGTCTGATCTGTTGATGCAACCTGGGCTATTAAATAGTCGGACGTGCGGTGACGTGAGGGAGTAACTTGCCAGCTCCCCGTTGTACTTGCGGTAGAACCAAATGGGATTCTGGCGCATTTAGGTTCATTGAAGTCATCCACGGCGTACGTATAAATATCTGATACAAAGTTAACTTGGCCCACTCGATTAGCATACGGAGGGATATTATACCATCCTGAAAGAGTTCCACCCCATCAAGGCCTGCACCCTGGCCATACCATTCAGAAATATCAAGCTGGAAACCACTCACGCCAACTATATTGACGAAAGAGAAATCGCGAAATTTTTCGGATGGATCGTCGGAGAGGGGACATCGCGCATCGCAAGCCTTGATATCACCGGTGGCAGGATCAGTGTAAGTCATGTTCAATATTCCATTGTCCGGCACTGCCGTAAAACGAAAATATTTCGTGCCTCTTCCATCTAAATGCGTGTTGTAAAGCCTCAATTTCGTTGGCTGGTATCCAAATTTCATATCAGCACGCCAATACCCGGGGGAGTTATCTGTAAGTAACCATGGATTGCCAACATTGCCTTGACCAAATTGTTTGCATATAACATTGCGTGGATTACTATATTCAGTATTCGTTGTACTCGACCCGGCTGTTATTGTTGAGGTATCGAGGTTGATAGCCTGTTGGTCCTTCAAAGCTGGAGTTGTTGCATTTCCCAATCCGTCAAAGGAGCCTCCAAATACTATGTGGTTTTCTGGGGTTTTGATGATGGATGAGACGGGTCCATTGAATCCAGCGAACGGAAGGGCAGAGAACCCTGAATTTGGGGACCATATAACAGCATTACTGGATTCCGGCGTTTTGAAATCCCCCCCTACATAAACATTTCCGCTTTCGTTATCGCAAAGCAAGGCCAAGACCTTTCCAGACAGGCCAGATATCGGGGTAACGTGATTAGATTTCATATTAAATAATGCAATCCCTTGAGATTCAACACCGCCTAAACTTGTAAAATTTCCTCCAACAACCACGTCGGTAATTGTGCCATTCTCCGCCATCAACGGGCACAGTGACAATATATCAGCGTCGGCGGAGGCGAGTGTAGCGAGCGCCCCGTTTGGCAAGGTCGCAAGGAGTGATTGAGAGCGGGTACCATTTGGCAGATGGTTATTCGGCCTCTGTTCTTCGAACAGGTATAGCGATGTCCCATCAAAGCTACCTGTCAGTGCGACTCGACCCAGGGGCTTGAGATCAAGTTCTGGCTGGATAACCGGCGTCACGCGGATAGCATGGGCTGTCGAGAGCAGGATTGAAAGCGCTAGAAAGACGGAGGAATAAAATCGAGAAGGGATATTTGCCGTCGCTGGCTCGACGGGTGAGGAGGAGAACCTCATCGCGCCACCGGCGACGACACAGCTACTCCCTCGTTGAGATACCTGGGGGTTTACAGGTCTACCCGACGGTCAATCTAGGTCCACTGCAGGCGTCGAAATTCGGGATAACGGGACATCGAGAAGGAGAGAGAGATATGGAGGATAGGATGTTCCTTAAACGAGTGTGTGACGAGAAACAAGATATGGATCTCACATCCCTTAGCCAGTGACAGAGTAAAGGAGTGAGGGTTGCCCGCAGGGCAGAGCAATGGCTAGGGTAAAAAGAATGAATTGAGTGGATGGGAGGTTTGAGCAAATTGCACTGCCTGAAGTGTTCCAGGGTGCCAGGGGCAGTAACGAGGTACGGTACAACACGGTACCAAGATATTGTACCAAGACATGTCCCAGTGTTCGCGGTGCTAGGGCGTTAGGGCAGCCAGGTACTGCAGTTACTGGGGGCTTGGGAAGTAAGCTGAGTCAGCCCCACTCCATCAAAGGTCGCAACGGGCTGTGGTTGGCTGACATCCTCGTCACCTGAAATAATAACAGCGGGCCTATTCCTGTTGCAGCCCGGATCAATAATCATACGGTACGGTTTGGGGTTAGATGGTAATTTACTAGACCCTAACAGGAAAGGCTGCCGTGTCTCTCTAAGCCGTTGGATGGCTGTTAATTTAAGTCTATCCCAAAAAAGGGGCCATGTTTTGGCATGTTGTTTGTTGTTTTGTTGTTAATTGCTGTTGCAGAGCGGCACTAATACTGTACATACATGTAATAAATAGGTAAGGAACCCTGTCACGTTTTCGCTTGGACCGTCCAAAAGGTTGGAGTTTTCTTTATTTTGTCTCCTATCTTGTTATTTCCTGCTGCGGACTTTGTTATACGAGTCTTTTTTTTCCCCTTCTTATTCAGAGGGGGAACAAAATATAAACGCATCTGCGAATAGCTGGAGCTGTTGTGAAACTGGTTGATTGATGGCTTAAAACTTCCAAGCTTTGGTTCCTTCTTTTGATGCGAAGGAGCGGGTGGATCTCGAAGCCCCCTCCTCAGCTGCAACCTCGCCTTCCAGCTCACATTGCCAAATATAAGAACACATCGTCACAATGCATCTCCACTGGGGTGTCTCATAAGCCCTCTGCAATTCCTTGTTGTTCAACTGTACATATATATACATGATGATGCTCATCCCCTTGATCGCGGCAATTATAAGCAGTATCTCGAGCATTTTTAGGAAGGATGGAAAGAAGAAAAAAATTATGGAAGAAAAAGCGAAAAAAAAAAAAAAAAAAAAAAAAAAAAAAAAAAACCTTAGTTACGTCAGTTCAAGAGCGCAGCGCCTCACTTCAGTTTAGAAAGCCTCCTGTATGATGTGTCAAAGCCAGAGAGGCCTTGATTTCTCTCATTCTTACAGGAACCAAAAATATTCTTAATCCTTTTAGGATTAGCTCACTTGGGCCAGGAAGCTTAGATAGAACGTCTGGGTCTTTGGGCCGCAAACTGGGAATTGGAATTTTCTCCATTGTGATTGACTCGAGTCCCGCTGCACACCGACATGCAACCCGGGAAGCAGTGGCACAATGGCATAACTCTGGTTTGTATCGCGGCTCAAGCAGTTCATCTCTTTTTAGAATCTCATGACAAGACTTTGTCTTAGCACAAAGGTGGAAGAAGGGGGACAACAGCAAAAATCGAGGACAGGATGGACAGTTAGTTATCCATTGTAGTCAGCGTCGTGCCTCATTATGTCGTCCTAAGAATATGATCAACCTGGAATCGACCAGACTCAAAATAATCCGGGCCAAAAGACAACCCTTGCCCGGAGGAGAAAAATAGTTGACAATCGGCTAGTTGGGACCAATAGGTCAGGCTGTGATTGCAGCCCTTGACCGATCGGCTAATGGGTTCCCCGTGGACTGACCCATCGATGTCAAGACAGACAGATGTTATTCACGGAGATCCTTGGGTTCAGAATCCCGTGAGACTTAAAGGGCATGACAGTTTCACGCGAGTGGCATATCTAACCGTCAAAATAAAACAAAATTTGATGATTCCTCGAAAAGTCGAAACCTAAACCTTCCTCGCATCCAGAACCCTACTTATTTACATCCAGTGCTTCAATACTGTGTGGGTGGGTGACCAAACAACCCTTCGTCCGTGGGAAACATCACCACAGCATGACAACCTTTCAACATACCAATATGAAAAGATGTCCAAGCCCTGTCAGCCCTAGTTGGTTTGCTGTCTTCCTCCTTCGTGTCTTCCATACAGGGATCCTTAATCCATCTGAACTGTCAGTAATCGGATCAAACATCGCTCGGTTATACTCGCAAGGTTCAAGAGGGGGCCGGGACAGACTTTTCCCCTGGAACGCACTTGTTGACAGCCAAATGGTTCAATGTTCGGTAGGTTTTCGAAAAAGCATTCTAGAGTTCTTGGCCATGTGTTTTTTTTTTTTTTTTTTTTGGGCGTCACAGGTACCATGCGAAGACAACAACTTTCCCCACACCAAACATTAATTCGGCATTATCCAATTATCGAAGACCTGAACCTAAATGAGAGATATACACAAACTTCCCATGATGTACTCCCTGTTCCAGTATCTTTTCATATTTAGCGGATTCGCTGATAACCAGAGTAATCACTAGGCTTCATATCTTAGGAAGAACTCAGGGAGAGATGCAAGGTGCATGTCGAAAGCCATGCTATGCATATTTGCGATGGGTAACACCCCGCCGCGCTCCAGGGAAGATGTGGGACATCCACTATCCGTAAACCAATCACCTCGCAAACCGTTGGGGAGAGAGACGTCGCAATTTCGCCTATCGCCAGAGGTATTCTCCTTGCTTTGCACAAGGCTTCATTCTGGTCTCCTCTGTCAGCGACTGAAGGATAGGTTTCCCAGTTTTACGTGGGTTATCTACGGGGCAATGAGGGGCCATAAAACCATCATTATTACGATAACAAAAAGCTAATTTTCTGATGATTGGACAGTGCCTTTTTCTTTTATCTACGTAGGGGGTTTTATTGAACCATGGGAACGGGTTTCCAGGGTTTGATATTATTATTAGTACCAGATGTCCAAGGGGGGTCTGTTGAACAACTCTTGGCAGGCCCCTCCCCCTTTTCCCGCAGGAAATAAGCACAAGAGAACACCAACCGCGGACAGGAATTACTCCTTGATGCTAGAACTGCTTTATCCAGGAAATTGAGGGCTCACGATTGAGGATGAGATAGCCAACCCAAACCGTGACACTGGATTTACGTGATATGAAGTGTGAAGTAATTGTGGATCCTGTAAGGTTCTCGTTCCATGTCCTTGCGGTAGGCGACATTCATGGTTGGGGTGTAGTGTCTCCTTAACTCGGCGAATTTAACGTGGTCTAACCTTGCGGATGTCCGATCCGAACGAAATTTAACCACCCCAAGTTAAAATAACTAGAGTTACGTCTTAAGCGCTTGACCTTAGCGATATCATTTTAATTTTTTCACTCGTGACGTCAATCATCGGAAATGTTGGCAGTAGATCATCACAACAGCCATTTTCAAACCAAACTCTCTTTTTCCGCGGATATTTTTCATGAATGGACTTTCAGTTGGTTCGAGAGCCGGAAACGCCGGCAGCTGTTTTGCGTTTGGCGAACAGTTGAGAAGCATTCTTAATCTGAATAGTATGTTGCCGGGATTCAAGATCGGATTTTGGGAGACTCCATTCCTGCGAAAAATCAGTTTCAATGACCAATGAAGGTTCTATCTCCGCCGGTCCTAGTTTTGGAATTTTCTTCTGCTGGTATTTCTTCTTCCCAACCGTCTACGCTTAGGTGCAGGACGAGGACAAAAAAGCCTTGTGTGAGATGGATACAAGTTTGCCTTGTTTACAGAGCTTTGGTTCATTGACTTCGTCGTAACTTATCTCTTGGGAAATCGTGGCAACTTTAATCTTTGTAGGGTGATGGTGGAGTTTCATGGGTGCTGGCAATTACTCTTACCATCCAGCAGAACCCCGTTCGCGACACTAATTACATCTTGATGACCCTGGAACTGTTTGATTGTTTATAGATTTATCTCCCCCCCTTTTTTTTATGCCATCAACGGTGTACAAGGCCATCTACGCATTATGAAGCAGCTGACTTGTTTACGCTTCTGAAGATTTTGGGAGTGGTTTAATCTTATATTCGATTATTGATTGGCCGATTCTTATTGTTCTGATTGAGATTAAACCCACTTCACGGATTAAAGGATATATTCCCTCAGGAGAATATCGATGGGTCTTCTGCCCGCAGCCTCAGATATAGCGTCCGTAAAGGCTTCCCTTGTCGCAACAAAAAGGTGGGCGGGGCGGAACCCCTTACGAAATGATCTTAAAACCAAAGCGCAACCCCAGACGCCACCTTTTTAATTTAACCAGGCTCCATCCATCCTTATCACTTCCCCGTCAAATCGTAAATCTTCTGGATACCCGTTAACACTTTCTCAAAATCAATCTTCAAATCCGTCAACAGCCCATCCTTGATGTTAAACACCCACCCGTGCACAATCGGATACTGATTTTTCGAATACATCTTCTGTACAGCTGCCGTCTTAATGATGTTCCGACACTGCTCAATCACATTCAGCTCTACAAGCCTGCCATAGCGCTTGTTCTCGTCCAGGGCATCCAGCTCCGCCTCGTGGAGCCGGTAGACGTCGCGGATATTTCGCAGCCAGGGGTTCAACAAGCCCAGGTCTGCCGGTGTCAGAGCGGCCTTGACACCGCCGCACTCATAATGCCCGCAGACAATGATGTGCTTGACGTGCAGGTGCCGCACGGCATAGTTTATCACGCTCATCACATTGAGATCGGTGTTGCAGACCAGGTTGGCGATGTTGCGGTGGATAAACGCCTCGCCAGGGTCTAGGCCTGTTATCTGCTCGGCAGGAATACGGCTGTCACTGCAGCCAATCCATAGGTAGTCAGGGTTCTGTCCCATAGAGAGCTTCTCGAAGAAATGCGGGTCCTTGGCGGCCTTTTCTGCTGCCCATTTCCTGTTGTTTTCGAAGATGCGCTCGTGTGTTTCCTGGAGATATTTGGAGACGTCGGTTGGGGCCATCTGGCTTATTGTTCGGCGGGTGGTGCAGGGATGGGGAAAACGTGGGAGGGGTTTATTGACGAGGTGGTTCTGGTGGTTGACTAGGCGGCTGGTTTTGTTGATGCTACTTTGTGTAGGTGTGGTGATTGCAGTGCATGGAGTTCTGAGGGTCGATAGGGTTGATACCTGGCGGGGTCGGAACATCAGTCGGGATGAATGCAGGGTAGAGGGGGCAATTCAATTAATTTTGCAGAAGTATGAGGTCCAATGGCTGAGTTAATGACCTTTCCTTCAATATTGTTGAAAGGAAACGGATTTGCATGCAGACGCACGTGATGTAGTTAACTAGTTATAACTAGTTAACTATTTACAATTGGTGATGTCATTCTTCAAAAGACCCTTAGAGGTTTAAAACATCGTATATCAAGCAGGTCACGTTTATTTCTTATGCCAATTATCGCAAGGCTGATCTAAGATAATGTAACTGAAATGTAAACTGATATATAGCATAATCAACACTATCCCCTTCCTGCTAGGACATTTAAGTCGTAGTATTCACCCTGCCAGTCGACGGAGAATCCAACGTAACTGAGAAAAACAAACGAATACCTTATCAAACAAAGAAACAGAAGATGTTCTCCTTTTGCGAGATCTTCCTAGAAGCTCAAGCTCTCAACTCTGAATAGCTGCAGCCGCCACCAGTGCATCGAGTGCTGAGCTCTGGGTCGATGCGAGGGCAGGGGGCGCAAAAGGTCCGGCCCAGTTAATACCAAACTGATTCTCATCATTCTGGTCATTGGCCCAGATGGAATCTGCATTCTTTTCAATGAAGAATTTGTACTCTGATTTCAGCGCAGTTTTGTGCAATACCTGCAGATTGCGCATGAAAATTCCCTTGAATTGCGGTCCGTCACCACCACAGTCGGGCTCACAGCGGTCATGTAAGATGCCATGCTCATCGGATAGAGTACGAATGGCCGCCGTAGCGATGGCATGCGCGTGATCTAGGAAGGAATTGCTTTCTCCGGGGAACACTTTGGAGAGCTCGACCAAGGCACCGAGAATGACGCCTTGGTTGTATGACCACACGATTCCTCCGTTGTTCTTGCAGATGATTAACTCTATGCCATCATTAATATTATTTTGCCCGTTTATAAAGCCAGATTGCTTGAACCATTTCCACTCCTTTATTGCCCAATCGCTGTAATATTTTGCTTTATCGGGGACACGGGTGGCGAGATGTGCTGCCACGCTCAGGAAAAGTTCGTTTGAAATGGCAACCAAGGCTGTTTGACGTTTATCCCACCAGATACCCCCACCACACCGCTCACTGTCCCACCCACCTGTCATGTCTTCGAAGATATCCCTTGCCATTTGTAGGTATTTCTGGTCTTTAGTTACGTCGTAAGCGTTGATCCATCCCAAAGCCCACCAACCCTCATCGTCGTAGTAGTCGTTGATGAAGCCAGGAAAGCTGCGCCATAGGGATGATGCGATGAAAAATGGTGAGTTAAGAGAACCAATCTCAACCAAACCATTTGAAGGGACCTTTTTGTGAAGTCTGGCTTGTGCCTTCTGGGCCTGCTTGAAAGTGGCACTAAAAATATTTTTCCCTATAGATGCAGCATAGTCGTTCAAAGGCATTAGGTTCCCCACGGTTGTGAGACAGTTTGCACTATTCCACCACCCTGTCGTCTCCCACAGTCCAGTTGATGTATTATACCATTTTTGCAGAGCCTGTAAACCCGCCTCTGCATAGCTTCCATAGTTGGGCAGCGCTAGGGCATAAGAAAGGAGGAGAGTGCAAGCAAAGACAAGCCCCCGCATGGCTGCCGTGATATAAGCTGGAGGGAGTTAAGAAGAATGGCGATGAATTTCCAGTATCTTGTGACGTATCCGAGTATGCAAACTCCCGGTCAGGGGATTAACAGTGCCCCTGATTCGGGAGGCTGCGAACAGAGAAAACGGCTAAACCTGGATGAACGAGGTTCAAGGATGTATATATCTGGCGACCCACGACAGTTATCTCGTGAAATTTGGGGAAGAACTGTGCATATGATGATAGCAATCCCTGAGTTACCGGACCTGGTTAACATATCACTGTTTTATATCTAGAAATTTTCCAAATGCGGTGGCTATGTGCTAGGGTCTGAATTTCGTCAGGGGTTCTCAGATTCTGAACCTCTTGAAGCTGAACGAAAGGGCCAAATGAAGAACGGAACCTCAATATGGTCGGAGTTTTTATTGATTTGTAGTTGTATGGAGAAAGGTAGCGATCAACTGACGCGATACATTGCAGTGGAATCGATGATTGTGGACCGTGGACAATTCATGGTCTTAAGGATCAGAAATCAGCTGGCACGGACATCTCGGATCCCCGGGTTTGCAATTACGCATTAGATATCCTGGATATAAAATCCAGGATCAGAAGTTGATCAACGGTGGATTAGGGACCGTTTTGTTTGAGGTGCAGCTGATTGGAGCAGCTGAGCAGAGTCGGTCAACGGGAAAAACTTTCTAACGCTTCCCCGCACTGGTTGATGAGCCGCTCTCAGCAAAACTGCCTCAAATTGCTAGAATATAATTAATTCCACAACAATGAAATAAATATTAATTAGATTATTAAATAGTAATGAGAGTATTCTCTAGTTCCATACAAAATAGGTGGTTTAATAAAATAGATGTGTGCTTGGCCAAAGAACACAGCCATGGTAAGAGATTCAACATAGAGTAAGGAGATTGATCAAAGGAGTGTCAATTTCTGAATTAGTAGTAGAAGCAGCAGTAAGCTGCTCTGAGGGACTGAGGTTGACCTCATTTCCTAGACTGGAAGATCAGATAGGATTTAAAGGATTAAAATTCATCATAGATGCCTGCTTCTATCATTGCTTTGAAGTAGTTATAGTTGAACTGACTGATTTTCACTTTGCAGCATAAGCACAAGTCTGTTCTTAATTCTCAGCTTCAAGCTAAGTCTTTTTAGTCTCTCTAGCAAGTCACTGAGCTTCACATTGCTCTGTCTTTCTAGTTTTCTCTTTCTCACAGACTTTGTAAGCTGCTATCTGAGCTGCTTGTCATTTAATTCATTTTTACTGAGCTTCTTCAGCTTCATATGCTTTTTGAAGATTACATTGAAATCACTTTTGAGCTTATTGAGTAGCTTTCTTCTCTTTTTCACAATCTATTTTTTGAATTCTCTCACAAGCTTGTTGAATCTAGAATGATAAGAAGAATTGAGTCTGGCCAGACTACTACTTTGAATTCAATAGATCTAAAAGCTTTTCACACTATTATCACTTATTTTTATTGCATAAAGCTTTAATTAAAGTCTTATTCTTATAAGGGGCTGAACCCTAGATTCACTCTGGCTGGCTGACTCAGCCTAGTCATTGTTTGCATGTGCGCATGTGATCATGCTACGTAAGCTTGCTTAAGCTTGTGTTCTCATCTCATTCTTTTCTTCCCTTTTCCAAGCAATTCATTCTTGTTATATAGGAAGACTAGCCTTTAGTTCTTAGAGCTTAATCCTCTACATTACAAATTGCTTCACTCCTTTCATTGATAGGCTACTGGGAGTCTTAATTCTGTATCATGAAGCTCAGCAAACATGCTAACATATAATAGGCTATTGAGAGCCTTAAATCCTGCATCACAAAGTTCAGTGATAGCATTAGTATATGAATAGACTGAGTTAGCAATCATGCTAACAAATGAATGAGCAACATTGAAAACATCTAGCTGAATGAGATAAAGCAGCAAACTTGTACAATGAATACACAAATGAATTAACATAAAGTAATGAGCAAGGACACTCTCAGCAGCTTTGAACAACAATGAATGACCTTTTTTCAACAGCAGAAACAGATTCAGTGTGAGAACAGAAATTTAATAGCAGCTCAGCAAGCTGAAATAGTTAATCTATGACAAGCTTTGAACATCTCAACATCAATCCTCTATCAATTGAACCTGCAATCACTTATTGCAGTCAGAAGACCAAAGATCAAGCTACTGAACTGTGAGAAGTATGATGATTTTAATCTGAAGCACTACTCTCAGTGAGAGCTAAAGCTTCAATCAAAACTTAAAATCAATGGAAAAGCTTTAGATAATAATGAGAAATGTGCTTGGTATGTGTACTCAAGACTGAAAGAAATGACAGCAGTTTGAGTTTACTTCTGAGTTGAGAATAATAAGAACAAGATCAACTTCATAGTAAAAAGCTTACTGAAGCAGACATACATGCTTTTTAGTGATTCTGCACAACAGGAAAAGACTATACAAAAGCTCAACAATCTATAATAGAATAGAAGAGCTCTTTTTGACTTTCTGCCTGAATTTAATCAGCTACTGCTAGAAGCTGATAGTCATGGATGAAATGATCACATTAAAAAGAGATATTTGAAATCTGCTCTAAGCATGGAGCTGAGAGAAAACATGATGAATGTAAAAGAATCATCTCTCTATGAGAATTACTGCAAGAAGTTTAGATTAGTTGATTATCAACTCTTTGAGCTTAAGACTTTAAGACAGTGGTCTAAATGTTATGAGAGCAGATCCTTTTCAGATCATATAATGTCTAATTCATACTCTTCACTTTGTCATGCTGTTCTTGATCAATGAAACTGATCTCAAGCTTCTGCTGATGATCTGATGAATCTTTCTCTTGATACTGTGATCTCAAGCACTCACCACATCAAATTGATAAATCAGACAGAGATTAATCAATGAAGAGAGCAAGGCCTGTGCCTGAGATGCAGAGCTGAAGATCATATAATTAAGAGCTACTCATTCAAATCTCTTATATGCTCTGCCATCCCCATAATAGCTAAAGTGATCTCCAAGCCAGTACTGAACAATAACAATGTGGATATGAGTGAGGATTCAGGAAAAGAGTAGCTCTAACTCAAAGACACTGAAAGAAGTGAAATAAGAAGCTTATAAAGAAGCAATAAAGAAGATTTAAATCTAAGATAATATTCAAACTCTTCACTGTCAATGCTATAGTAGATAATGCCTTTTCAATTAAAGTAATGATAGACAGTGAATGTAATATCTATGATCTTATTTCTTAATTCTATGTTAACAAGCATAAGCTTCTGTGCATTGAAATTCCCCCTGTTAAAATGACTGGCTTTGAAGACTCCATGAAACTCTCCATAAGCATGATGACTGGTATTCAAATTGATATAAACAGTCATATAACTGAACAGGTCTTTCTCTACATGGTGAATGAATTACATGATCATGATATGTATCTAGGTGACCCCTGGCTGGCCCAGCAAAAGGCAACCATGATCTATTATCAAAGAATTGTGAGATTTAAAGAGAGTGACATAGAGGTAGAGCCTAGTTCAAATGCAAAAGCTGATGTGATTCTTATCTCTGTTATAAGCTTCTCTAAGCTTGTGAGCATTTGAGAGAAGTGAAATATCAAAATCTTCACTGTCAGTTTAACCAATATTCAAAAGACTCTAGAAGTGAAATCAAAGATTAACTCTAGAGAAAAGCTGTCTGAATATTATTATGAGTTTTTGGACATATTTGATAAAGAAGCTACTGACACTCTACCCCTACTTTGTGACCCAGGTAGAGATCATAGGATTGAACTAATTAAAAAAACTAATGATAACATGAAACAACCCCATTGAGACTTACTATATAATATGTCTTGAGAGAAACTACTGACTTTATGAAAGACTCTTATAGATTATATAGATAAGAGTTTTATTAGAGTTAGCAACTCTCTCATGACTGCTTCTGTACTATTTGCAAAGAAGTCTGGAGATGAGCTAAGATTCTGTATGAACTATTGAGCTCTTAACAAAATCACCTGAAAGGACTGATATTCTTTATCATTAATCAGTGAGATTCTACAGTGAATTAAATGAGCTAAATAATTCACTAAGCTGGACATTATTGCAGCTTTTCACAAGATTCAAATCATAGAAAGTGATGAGTAGATGACAGTCTTTAGAACTAGATATGAGCTATTTGAGAGGCTGATTACACTCTTTGATTTGATCAATGCTCTGAGCACATTTCAAAAATATATCAACTGAGTATTACATGAATATCTGGACAACTTCTGCTCAGTTTATTTAGATGACATCTTGATATTTTTCTCAAGAAGCTTATAGGAGCATTGTAAGCATGTACAAAAGATGCTTATATGTCTATGAGAAGCAGGCCTGCAGGCAGACATCAGAAAGAGTGAGTTTGAGATGAACAGCATAAAATATCTTGAATTCATCATTGAAGCAGGCAAGGGTATATGAATAGATTCAGAGAAGATTAAAGCTGTTTTGAAATGAGTGACACCTACTACTCTTAAGGGTGTATAAGGATTTTTAGGCTTTGTCAATTTCTATAGATGATTTATCAGGGATTTCTTAAAGATCATAACCTCACTGAAATTCTTACATACAAGAATATTCCTTTTTTGTGGATGAGCAAGGCTGAGGAAGCTTTTAAGTATCTAAAATCAATATTTATCTCTGCTCTAATCCTGCTTCAATTTGACCCTGACTATGAGACTATATTGAAAACAGACTTCTCAGATTATATCTCAGAAGAAGTGCTGCTACAATATGATGAGCAGAGCATTCTACACTCATGTGTCTTCTTTTCTCACAAGTATTTACCTGCAGAATACAACTATAAGATTCATGATAAGAAGTTATTAGCAATAATTGAGTGTTTAAAGAAATGAAATGCTGAGCTACAAAATATAAAGAAATTCAAGATTCTTACAGATTATAAGAATCTAGAATACTTCATGACTACACACAGACTAAATGAAAGACAGCTATATTGAATAAATATTCTCTATCAATTCAACTTCAGAATTGATTATTAGCCAGAGAAGTTGAACACTGAATCAGACACTCTATCATAAAGAGAGCAGAACATATCACAGGATGCTGATGATGAGAGAATCAAGCAGAGACAAGCTCAACTACTTAAGTTTAATATACTGATATCTGAAATGGAATCAAGAGTGACTGCTGTCAGCATGGAACCTGAGATATCTCTTCAAGCTTAGTGAAATGAAACTCACAAAAATGACAAGATTCTGCAATGTCTAGAGCAGATTCTTCATGAGAGAAGATTTAGATTTTCTTTTGAACTCAGCATTAAGGCCTCCATCTTAGAGTGCTCTTTAAATGAGAACAGGGAGCTTCTCTTTCAAAGTTGTAAGTGAATGCCAGACTTCAAATCTCTTTAAATTAGATTAGTGCACAAGGCTTATGACTCACCTCTTACTGACTATCCTAAGTGAGAGCAAACAGCAGAAGTTCTAAAACATGAGTTCTACTGGTCAGGCTATACTGCTGATGTGAGAAGAATGATTAGGAACTGTTATCTTTACAGATCAAACATTACATGAAGAGATTGATGTC